TTGAGGGCTGCTGAGGGAAGGAAAACGGGCTAGGTCATGGGCAAAGAGAGCTGTGTGCCACTTGTGCTGAAATCTGGGAAATAGACGTGCACAGCGTATGATGCACAAGGGTAATATGGTTTGTCCATATTGAACCGCAGTGGGTAAAGCGCAGTTGGCGGGCTCCGCCCGCCTGCTAGGAGCCCTTGCAGCGATGAAAAAAATCACCAATGGCGGGCTTCGCCCGCCTTTTAAGAGCCATTGCAGTGATGAAATCACCAATGGCGGGCTCCGCCCGCATGCTCAGAGCCATTGCAGTGATGAAATTACAAATGGCTATGAGCAATATGCCAGAATGTATGAGTGTGTATAAGGAAGAGGCTTTTATTCTGTAGAGTCCCTGTAGTCTTATTTTGAAAGTCTATCATGGATGTGCATCAAAAGATGGGTCATGCCCAGCAGTGATATAGAATCCATTTCCAAATGTTAAATCACTGGTTTTCCATGTTATTAGGTGAATAGCTGCTGTATTACAGAGTAAATGGGAGACTTTTATTGTGAAATTTGCTCTGGGGTGTGTTTTGAAAAGGTCACTAGAGTCTAATAAAAACAACCTGGAAGAGTTTGGGTCATAATGTTGAGCCATTTGCATCAATTATTGCATTAGTATAATCTAGAGGCTTTTATTTTGTAGGGTCCCTGGATTCTTATTTTGAAAGTCCAACAGAGTTGTGTTTAGAGAAAATGTTCAGACCCAGCAATGATAGTTGATGACTTTCCAATCGTTAAATCACTCTTTTTTCCATGTTATTAGGGCAGTAGATGAAGATGAAATGGGAGGCTTTTATTTTGAAATTTGCCTTAAGGTGTGTTTTAAACAGTCTCCTAGAGTCTATTCTCTAAAATGGGGTTGAGTTTGGGTCATAATGTTGAGCCATATAGGGCAATAAATATATGTAAAAAATATAGAGGCTTTTATTTTGTAGGGTCCCTGGAGTCTTATTTTGAAAGTCTATCAGTGTTGAGTGGCAAGGGAAGTGTCATGGACAGCAGTCATATGGTATCCATTTCCTAATGTTAAATCAGTGCTTTCACCCTCCATTAGATTAATATGTGCTGTTTAAAACAGCAGAGGTAAAATCTCTTTGAAGCACGGTTACCTTGACAACGCTTAACGAGCCTGTCAGTGACAGAGAGAAAAGCGCAGCACTATCGTTCCTTAGCTCTCAGGCTTTTTTGAATGGGAGCAACAGCTCCGAACAAACGACTGCTTAGCAAAAATCGTATGAGTTATTCAAAAAATTTCTTCACCGTGAGCGTCAGCGATCCTTCGACTCCAACTATGCCAACTTTGGTGTATGTGTGTCATTCAGAAAAATATTTATGACGAGTTTAAAACACATAATGTCATTCGTTTTTCTCCCCACTGCTGCTCCAAAACCAATGGAGAAATGCTCTGATTCTCATCGACTTTAGGTCGGTCTGGAGCGTTTTTAAGGAAAAGTATTAATCCTACCGTAATTCTGAAGACATTGTGTGGGTCCAGAGGTTTCAGCCTACAAACTGACCAAAAATGGTGACTGTAGCTCCAAATATGTGGCCGTGAGGCAAGAACAAAATGTTTTATCTTAAAAAAACGACAGCCTGCTTCACTGCAGCAGGCTGCTGCAGAAGCTAACTGTCAGCTAGCTTCCAGGTGCTTACCCTCCAAACAAACGACTGCTGAGAAAAAACCGTAAAAGGTATTTGAGAAATTCTTTCAGTGAAAGCAACATCTATCCTTTGTCTCAGACTGGGGTAACTTTCATGTCTGTAGGTCTTTCACAACCCAAAACGAAGCACAAACAAAATGGCTAATCCCACCTGCTCCTCCCTTTGTTTTAACTGCAGAATCACACTCTCACTCACCTTTAAGCTGCTAAAGCACCCCTCCGAACAAACGACTGCTGAGTAAAAACCATAAATGATATCTGAAAAATTATTTTTATCTAAGCGACAGCTATATCTTGTCTTCAATTGGAGTAACTTTCATGGCTGTAGGTCATCTACAACCTGAATGGGAAGAGAAAGAAAAAGACAAAACGTTTTCTCACACCTGATCTTTTAATTGAGCTAGCTGCAGCAGGTCCCTCTCACTCAGCTTTCTGGTGCTTAAAATGTCCTCCGAACAAACGACTGCTGAGCAAAAACCGTATGAGTTATTCAAAAAATTCTTTCACCGTGAGCGTCAGCCATCCTTCGACTCCAACTATGCCAACTTTGTTGTATGTGTGTCTTTCAGAAAAATATTTATGACGAGTTGAAAACATATAATGTCATTCGTTTTTCTCCCCACTGCTGCTCCAAAACCAATGAAAAACGGCTTTGATTTTCATCGACTTTAGGTCGGTCTGGAGCGTTTTTAAGGAAAAGTATTAATCCTACCGTAATTCTGAAGACATTGTGTGAGTCCAGAGGTTTCAGCCTACAAACTGACCAAAAATGGTGACTCTAGCTATAAATATGTGGCCGTGAGGGCGATTTTAAAATGTTTTTTGGTCTTAAAAAAACGGCTGCCTCACACTCTAGCTTTTCAGTCTCTCCACTCTAGAAGGGTGGATTTTGCTAAAACTTTGTGGCGCTTGAGGTCTGATTATACAAAAACCGTAGCAGTTATCAACATACCGTCTTCAGTTTTAAATAGACGAAGGATTTATCTACAAACTGAGCTTTAAACTGTTTTTCTACATGAATGTATGCCGACACAGTGAGGTGCTGTTTTTTATGCTTTTTTTCCCTCTCCCCATTCATTTCCTATGGGATTTTTTTTGCGACGTTTTCGCTAATAATTCGCAAACCTTCGGACTAATGAGAAAGTTTTATACAAGCACGCATCGCACCATTGGTCCCTACGCGTGTGCCAACTTTGGGCCCGATCCGACGAATGGTGCGTGACTAATTACACCCCGAAGTTTTTAGGGGACGAGGAGAACTATAAGCTATAATAATAATACGCGGAATAAATATGTGCAATAGTAATAGGTGGGCCATGCCTTCGGCATGTGGCCCCCCTAATTAGCTAGCAAGGCTAACACCTGTCCGCCAAAACGCTACGCAAATCTCTGACGTTTTTGATTTATGGCAAGATATCACTGATGTCATTTTGACTAGTCAGAATGTCAATTTAAGATATCTTTAATGGAAAAGCTGAATAATTCAAGATATCTTTAATTCATTTAGAGATATCTTAAAAGGAATTTCGAATAGTCGAAATTACAATTCAAGATATCTTTAAATTTGTTTTGTCTAGTCATTATTTGCTTTTAAGATATCTATAATTGAGTTTTCACTAGTCAAAACTGCATATCTCCTATCCTAAAATACATTTAAGATATCTTGAAATATGGTGGCATTTGAGATATCTTTAATTAGAATTATGACTAGTCAAAACTAAAATCGAGATATCTTCAATTTCTTTTATGACTAGTCGTAATTTAATTGTAGATATCTGAAATGTGTATTTCAGATAGTCAGTAATTAATTCTAGATATCTTAAATTGACGTCTCCATACAAGTTAATGGTAAATCTGACGTCATTTCGACTAGTCAGAATGTAATTAGAGATATCCCGAATAGGAATTTTGACTAGTCAAAATATATTTAGAGATATCTTAAATCACTAAAACGTCTAGTCATAAAACAATTTGAGATATCTTGAACGTATAGGTGGAGCAGCCGAATTTATGTTAAAACGGAACAAGGCGGTTTGCATCGGAAATTAAGTTTCAGTGTCTCAAGAATGAGGAACATCGAAGTTCTCCTATATATCCACAAGATGGCGCAAGAGGGCCTCTTTCCCCTTGTTTTTCTTTTTGTCAGATTGCGGGCGTGTTCAGTTTATTTATAAAAATCTAGTTAACAGTTGAAATGCAGCTAACTAACCAGACATACACAGTGTTAGGTACAAGATGATAGAACATAATTTACAAACATCTTCGACGAGCCATGGTATAAAAAAAACCCTTTTATTTCCTCCAACAATAAAAAAAAATAAAAACAGCTCATAAATGTGACCTAATATTACATAAAAACCCAGCCAAATTTACAAAATACGCAGTTAAATATTTTAATAAACTAAAAAAAATGAAACTAAAAACACGCAAAAGCGCAACTTATATTTGGGACTTTATTTGGGTTTATAGTTAAGTAAAAGTTTTGTTTAAAAAGACAAAAATAAAATCATCAAAAGAACAAAATAACGAAAAACACGTAATCTGAAACAATTTTATTTCATTATTAATTATTTATTTATGTATTTATTTTTGTGTGTGTGTGTGTGTGTGTGTGTTTTTATCTTCTCCTTTAAAAACATCAAAACAATTTTAGAAATTCTTTTGTTTTTCAGGAATTTCTCTTAAAGAAATGACTGCCTTGAGAGAAATACTCTAGATTGATATCACTCCGTGCAGTCAGGAGGTCATCTGATTATCATGCGTAACAATGACTGCAGGCATCCAGTTGGAGGAAAGGGGAGTCCTGCAACAGATCAAAGAGCTCATAAAGTCAATAATCTTAATCTAATCCCACAGGGAAAAAAAAACTATTGCAAGGTGATTCAATCTGAATATGTGCGTAAATGTGCGTAAATAATCCAAACTGGTAAGAAAAAAAACACAATATATGATCCGAAAGCTGTGGAATATTTCTTAGGTTGTGGCGCATTTTCTAAATTCCCTTTTTTTGTTTTTGATTCTTATATTTCACTCATTTTATTAGTATAAAGTAACTCTGCGCACAGGAAGCAATTTGATGCGTCATGTAATGATGGAGAAACGGGAAACCCGTTGGATTGGGGTGGATCACCATCATCATCATCATCATCATCAAGGGGTGGAGATATTCTGCTGAGGCGGTTCTGTAACAGGTCTCCAGTCTTAGAAGAGGCTAAAGGCAACCCGGACCGACTGGGAGCCATGTGTCTCTTTATTTATTTTTATTAAAATAAACTTATATTTGACATCTGTCCACATGGGCTGAACGAGGAAGGACTTGATTGTGCCACCTGTGCGCATAAGGATGGATGCTCTCACCACGGGCGCGCGGCTGTGAGGCGGCATGAGGGCCAAACGTCCAGCATCTGAGGGTCCCGGGGCGCCACGGTGACAGACATGGATCACTTCTTTAGGAGAAAGCGGGCCGGTTTGGTTAAACCCCTGCTCAGTCTGTCCCTCATCTTCGTTTCTGTTCTGATGATTCTCAAACTGAAACTGTCAGAAAAAGACGCAGCGAGGATCAAACAAGCGCGGGATGCCAGCTGGTGCGGGTCGGACTGTTTCCCGGCCGTCGAGTCTAATTTCTGGAGGATCAACGCCCACCACGCGCCAAGCAAGAGAACGGACGCGCAGCAGGTGTCCAACGGGACAGGCTGGGACGCGCAAGTCCTCAACTGCAGCGAGGACGCATCGGTGAAGAGCCAGCCGTGGTTCCGGCACCTGGACCCGCGGTTCCACCAGTTTGTTCTGCACAGACACTGCCGGTACTTCCCCATGCTCATCAACCATCCGGAGAAATGCGCGGATGGAGAGGTGCACCTCCTCATGGTGATCAAATCCGTTATAGAGCAGCACGACCGGCGGGAAGCCGTGCGTAAAACCTGGGGCCAGGAGCGGACAGTGGATGGAAAGAAGATCAAAACTTTATTTTTACTCGGAACTCCGACAACAGGGAAAGACACAAGAAACCTGCAGAAACTGATCGAGTACGAGGATAAGATCTATAAAGACATCCTGCAGTGGGACTTCATGGACACCTTCTTCAACCTGACCCTGAAGGAGGTAAACTTCCTTAAATGGTTTAACATCTACTGCCCAGGAGTGCGCTTCATATTTAAAGGAGATGATGACGTTTTTGTGAACACAAACAACCTGCTGGAGCTCACGGCTTTCAAAGTGGAGGAGCGCAAAGACGCAGACTTATTTATAGGAGACACCATCACCAAGGCGATCCCCATCCGGAACCGCCAGAGCAAATACTACATCCCCAAAGAGCTCTACGATAAGCCCTACCCGCCTTATGTGGGGGGTGGGGGGTTCGTCATGTCCTCCCAGCTGGCCAGGAGGCTCTTGGCGGCCTCAGAGGACGTGGAGCTGTACCCCATCGATGACGTGTTTTTGGGGATGTGCCTGAAGAAGCTGAGCGTCGCTCCTGAGTTGCACTCAGGTTTCAGGACCTTCGGTATCAGCAGGCATAAGGCCAGCTCCATGAACAGGGAGCCATGCTTCTATAAGAACCTGATCGTGGTGCACAAGCTGAGCGCGCAGGAGCTGTTCAGGATGTGGAGCATAGTGCACAGCAAGGATCTGGTTTGCGCGCAAAGGACATCCATGTAAAAGCAAAACAGACTGTGGAGAAAATATAAAGAGCAAACAGGTTTGAAGCCTGATTGGGAACAGAAATGGATCTCCTTTGCCTGGTTGGTCATTTATAAAACCACTACAACCAAGTGCCATGTTAAATTCTACTGTCTTATTTAACAGAACCAAACTCTCTATAAAAGTAACTTATGTTGGTTTTTAATTATACAGGTTTAAACTCATAATTTCTTTATTCAGGTTTTTCTCTGGAAAGAGGATTTTATAGACTGGGAAGATTTTAATGGTCTTAATTAAAGTATAAGGTTCATATTAAACACAGAAAAAACATGAAACTAAAAGTTACAGAATTGCACTAAGTTAAAGAAAAAAATTTTCTTCTACCAACAAGATAACTTGAAATAAAATGAATGAAACTTTGATTATTGTGATTTTTAATGCTCTAAACAACAAAGTAAAGCGCCAGTTTTAAGATACGCTCTTATTGCACAGAATACGACAAATATTTTACAAACTGATGCATTTAAAAGCTTTAGAGCTCGCTCACATTCTTTTCCAATGTCAAAAACAGTCCTTTATTTTTATTCGATATATAATTTTTTTCTTTAAAAAAAAAAAGACATATCAAATTGTCTTTCTAGCAATATTTGTTCAGGTTGCTGACCAGCAGTGCACAGGAACGACGGAGGGAAGGTGATAGATTTGTTCCATTGTGCGCCATCTCATATTATTAAATGACCTTAAACCAACACAGCTGGATGTTTTAAACCATTACCACATGTTAAACACTTTGCAAATAAAACTGTTTAAACTATTGCTGTATACCAACTCAGCTGATGCATAATTGTTGCTGCAAAGGAGATTTTATGGGATTATTGCAAAGAACAAACAGATATTGTACATTTGGGGTAGGGTTATTATTTTATAATGCATTGTAAAATTGTAATAAAAGAAATATAAAAAAAGGTCTAACGTTCATGTTTGTTTATGACTTAGATTTCTCCTTATGTCTCATAATCAGGAAGCAGTGCTAAAACAGAAGGAGCAAGAATAAACGTTAAAGGTTCTTATATTTGGTGTAATATCACTTTTTAATTGTACGACTGTCTTGTTTCTTTTGATTAACAATGTCTAAAATATCCTGCCTAAAATGTAGGGGGAAAAAATGTAAGGATCTGAAACTCTAAAGAGAAGATTATTCTCTTCTTTATTTTATTTAACAGCAAAAGAGACATATAGATGATCCAACCTTGTTTCCAAAACTTTAATTTAGATTTATATTACACTTACAAACACATTTCCACACAAAAATAGCTATATTATGCAAACTCGTAACAAAAATACTGACAAGTGCACAGCAAGTGCCATGATAAATTCTACTGTCTTATTTAACAGAACCAAACTCTCTATAAAAGTAACTTATGTTGGTTTTTAATTATACAGGTTTAAACTCATAATTTCTTTATTCAGGTTTTTCTCTGGAAAGAGGATTTTATAGACTGGGAAGATTTTAATGGTCTTAATTAAAGTATAAGGTTCATATTAAACACAGAAAAAACATGAAACTAAAAGTTACAGAATTGCACTAAGTTAAAGAAAAAAATTTTCTTCTACCAACAAGATAACTTGAAATAAAATGAATGAAACTTTGATTATTGTGATTTTTAATGCTCTAAACAACAAAGTAAAGCGCCAGTTTTAAGATACGCTCTTATTGCACAGAATACGACAAATATTTTACAAACTGATGCATTTAAAAGCTTTAGAGCTCGCTCACATTCTTTTCCAATGTCAAAAACAGTCCTTTATTTTTATTCGATATATAATTTTTTTCTTTAAAAAAAAAAAGACATATCAAATTGTCTTTCTAGCAATATTTGTTCAGGTTGCTGACCAGCAGTGCACAGGAACGACGGAGGGAAGGTGATAGATTTGTTCCATTGTGCGCCATCTCATATTATTAAATGACCTTAAACCAACACAGCTGGATGTTTTAAACCATTACCACATGTTAAACACTTTGCAAATAAAACTGTTTAAACTATTGCTGTATACCAACTCAGCTGATGCATAATTGTTGCTGCAAAGGAGATTTTATGGGATTATTGCAAAGAACAAACAGATATTGTACATTTGGGGTAGGGTTATTATTTTATAATGCATTGTAAAATTGTAATAAAAGAAATATAAAAAAAGGTCTAACGTTCATGTTTGTTTATGACTTAGATTTCTCCTTATGTCTCATAATCAGGAAGCAGTGCTAAAACAGAAGGAGCAAGAATAAACGTTAAAGGTTCTTATATTTGGTGTAATATCACTTTTTAATTGTACGACTGTCTTGTTTCTTTTGATTAACAATGTCTAAAATATCCTGCCTAAAATGTAGGGGGAAAAAATGTAAGGATCTGAAACTCTAAAGAGAAGATTATTCTCTTCTTTATTTTATTTAACAGCAAAAGAGACATATAGATGATCCAACCTTGTTTCCAAAACTTTAATTTAGATTTATATTACACTTACAAACACATTTCCACACAAAAATAGCTATATTATGCAAACTCGTAACAAAAATACTGACAAGTGCACAGCAAGCGCCATGATAAACAGGAAGGCCTGAAGACTTAGAGAGAAAATCTATGTTACCAAACAGCAGCTGTTCTGTGTTTTCTCTGCTGTTGCCCATCTTACACATTAGAGCCACAGCTTCAGGGCAGAAACTACAGTTCAATAATACAAGGAAGGTTTAAGAACATTTCAGGCTGGATTTCATATTTACACAAACCCTTTGTCCCTTTTTCCTCAGTCTTTCAGTTAGCACTGGCAAAACATTTCTACATTAGAATAAAACCAGGAAATAAATAATACTGTGGATGGCTCTTAACCTTTATGGGGTTTTTAAGCATTCCTTTAACTCTATTGGTCCACAATCTTTCCTGGTGTATTTTTATTTTAACATTCTCTACTTTAATGTAATTTCAAAACTTTCACTTGTATGATAATCATTGGGCCTTTTCAGGAAAAAAAACACAATCTATCTTTATATCGAGTGATCCTTGATTCCCCATACATCCTGTTAAAAACAATCAGAAGTATTACTTCATCCATGGCAGTAATGGTGGCAACAGAGCTTTTGGTAGGGGAATGGAGAATCTTACTTCTGCTTGTCTTGGCCTGTAAAGCTTCATGTATACAGAAATGAATATTAATCAGTAGTTCAAACGAGATATTTACATATATGGAATGAAAAGACGTTTTTGTCCCCTCAGTGTGAGCCTGAAATTAGACAGAATGAAGTTTTTACAATCAAAGTCGGTTCAGATAACCAGAGTTGTTTTAAAACACAAGATTAAAAAGCTTTTTTAGAAGAGCTGGTATATTATTTAAAGTCTACAATTGCATTATAGCCTCTTTGAATAATTTTCACATAGAAAAAAGCCAAGATTATGTTGTCTGTAGGTAGATTTACAGCATTTAAATTAGTTTGAAGGTAATTTTTATATATATATATATATATATATATATATATATATATATATATATATATATATATATATATATATATATATATATATATATATATATATAAACGTTCTCAATTTTCAGATGTTAAACATTTTTTTTAAACTCTGACTTCACTCAAATGATTTGTGTCCTTCTACCAAACGCTCCCAATAATTTGCTGGAGCTCTGCCCTGTTCCTCCTGACAGAACCGACTGGATGGAATCAGCTTTGCCTGCAGTTTTTAATAGCCAAACCATTTTTAGCCAAACATTAAATTCCAGGTTAGTTTCACGTCTGTAGGATTTCAGGAACAGATGGATGACACCTTCATGCTTCTGAATAATCCAGACAGTTCTCTTCCTTATATCTTGACTGTTTCCTATTAATTTTTCAAGCTACACAAGGAAGCAGTAGAAATTACTGTGTCTTCATTTTACTCAAATGTTATAAATGAATAAAATCACAATATCAACAGTTGGGCTTTTTAGGAAAATGAATAATCTCTGTATGTAAGCTTCTCAATCAGAAGAAACTAATAAATAAACTTCCACTCTCTTTATTCTGCCTCGTTGCAAACAAATTATTTAGGTAATCGTATCTACCTAACAAAGAAATGTTTGTGTTTAATGTTGGATAGTAAATATAAACAAAACAAGTGTACAGTATGCAAATATACGGTTTTACCTGTGTGATGAATAAATGGATAATAAAGTGGTATTTTTGTCCTAACGTCAAGTCAAATCAAAGAAAGTAGGGAAAAAAAATCTTTAAACCTGACTTGAAGTTTACACAGAAGGTTTACTTAACAGACTTGGCGACCAAATATCCTCGATGATTTCATGATGACATAACCAGTGCTGTCTGAGCTTGGTGAAACCGTGCACCAGCAGAGAGCCAGCATTGTCTATAACGTAAGAGATGACTAAGCAGAGCTGGCTGCAAACTTGGAAAACGCTGCATCGTGTACTTTTGAATTTAAACCATTAGCTTAGAATACAGATAAGCACATTCTCACTGTGGCTGTATTTTCCCAGTATAATTGTCATCCTCTAAGCTGTTAAGAGCTGTATAGTAAAACTTTTTTTTTTTTTTTATTATTATTATTTAAATAGAATACGGAGCCTTCAAAAAGCAGTGAGAAAAATAAGAGCTTAGGAGGCCAGAAGCCTTGATTTAACAGCACACAGTGAGGTCATGCGCATTGGCCCTATAGGTGTTTGGTGGTGTAGGTTAAACCTTTGGACAGGGAAGAGTGATTCAGCTGAAATATAAAAGGCTAAACTTCATTGTCTTAATGCAGTTTGGTGTTCTCAAATGAATCAGGTTGTTTGTTCAGAAGAACTATCGCTTCTACTGAAGTGCGATGGAGTTTGTGTCGGACCAGTTTCATCGCTTTCCAGCCGCATTTCTTCTTGCACCGGGTGTCAGGGATGGGATCCGGCTGCCTCGGCCCACTGGTCCGGTTCTGGTTCCAACTCCAGCTCTGAACGGCCACAACTGCTTTGTTCCACCAGCAGCCCTTCCTGGACAGAGAAACACGCCCACTGAAAGGGATCCTTTGACAGCGACAAACATCAGAGGTCATCAAATCTGCTTACATGAAAATTTAGTTTCAATATATAGAAATGTGGGCAATTTAAATATAAAGATTTATGAAAGTCCAAAATATGAGATTTTTCTTTATTTCATGTTGGTATTAATAGTGTTGGCTTCTAGAAGTCTGGTAGCAGCTTTTCTTTAATAAGAAACTACATAAAGAATTCAATGTGGTATGTATTTAAATTTTCTTATATCAACTAATGTGAAAACCAAATATTTACTGCAGCTACGGTGACCAAATAAAAAAAGACAGATGTGCGAAAACTGGGATGCTTCTGAGGGGCAATGCAGAACAGACTTTTTTAGCTTTGCATTTCATTTGTGACTCATTTTAATGGTGTTGCTTTACGTTATGCTCCTCTCATAACAAATTGACAAAAACAATTTCAGCAAACTTAACAAAAAGCTCTCTGAGAATCAGTCTTTGATGTGGCTGAGATTTATTTTCTTTAAACCTATTTTTCATCTTACTTTGTTGTAAAATCTGGACTATGTAGGGGTGCTGCAGGGAGGTTATGGCTGGCGCTGCGGGGGATCTCTTTTAGGGCATGGCAGTCGGAGGTTCAGGTGCAGTTATCTAGGCTGTTTTTGCACTGTAACGGGTATCTATCCCTTTCTTGGAGTTATAGCTTGAGTTTCCTCACTCTTCTCACCCTGGGAGGGTGGGGATCTCCTCCTAGGTCTAAGGGCTGCTTCCCTTTCAAGGGGTTCAAGTCTAGAGCTGCGAAGATAGTGTATGTATGAGGAGTGTAAGCATGTGTTCAATGTCTGAGTGTCATTTTATTTAATGTGTCCGTACAAATCTGTGTGAGGGTAAAAGGGTGGGTGTTTTTGTCTTGTTGTCCGGTTAAGTGTCTGGCTGCCCCAATGGACCATTAGGCCCCAAACGTTAATGGAGCCGGTTTCCTCCCCTCAATACTCTCTCTGCAGGTGTTGGTTCTTTCTCTGCAGGGCTGGCTGCTTCGCTGGGTGCCATCTCAGTCTGGCCAGCTGCTGGCCGAAGCCTGGGCCCCTGACACTGTGGAGTCTTTGCTTGGGGGTCGTGTCCCCCTAGGCCTCAGGTTTCTGGACCCACAACTGGGTCCACTTTAGGCATGACTGGCTGCCGATGGAGCCCATGGGCTTGTTGCTGCAGCTCCGAGGGGCTTCAGCACCATAGCTTTGAATGTGGCTGAAGGAGACCTTATGGATTGTATTGCAAAAAATAGTTAATAAAATAAAAAAAACATACTTCATAAACATATTTAAAGGTATAGAGGACGATCTTTGCAGTAGGGGTGGGTATTGCCAAAGAAGTCACGATTCGATTCGAATCACGATTCACAGGCCACGATGCGATTCTATGACGATGCATCACGACCCTTGAATTATTGCGACGCATTGCAATATTTTCTCCTCCATGTTTTTTTTTTTATTGACTCGGCGCAGTATCCCGAGGCCGGAAATGCTTGTGACACAAGGCAGCGTGCGTCAACACATCCACAGCGACATCTACTGGACTGGAAGTTGTATTACACTTGTGTTTGGCTGATGTTCGCCAACCATTCATGCAATTTTATTTATGAATTTTTTTTTATTAATAATCGATACTTGGCATCAAGAATGCCAATAGATCACGAAAATTAGAATCACGATGCATCATCATGACGATTATTTTGCACACCCCTACTTTGCGGGTGGATTATCTAAATAAGTGGTTCTCCTAATTGTCAATTATTCTGGTGATATGTTTAGGTAAAGCCGTCCGACATGCTCTCTCCGTTAGCTATCTTTTTCTGCGCATGCGCACTTTCCGGTGTATATCTGTGGTGAGCTGCGGTTTCAGCCAGTCATTGAAGCTCACCTTGGTTCTTTGAAAATGGCAGAGGGTCGTAGGAGAAAAAGTGTCTACAAAGTAGACAAGAAAAGCCTCAGAAGAGGCAGATATACCCTGGAATGATCTGCGCGCAGAGCTCTCCCTGCAAAGCATTATGGGATTTGCTGTCACAGCAAATCCCATAATGCTGTTGCTACCTGACAGCGGCGACTAATAACAAAGATGGCGCAGACACTGCGCGTTGGAGTAGTTACGTGATCAACAGGGAGCAAAAAGCAGTGATCATCTGTACAAACAGTAAGTTACAGAGTTTGCTATAAAGTCCACTATATAGTCCCCGCTCTAAATAGTGATTGAGGGATTTAGGGGTTAGGGCGTACGTTTGGACACAGTAAGCTTGTCTGAGCTATGAGAAAAACAACTTTTAAACAGCACGAGGAGAAATGGGCTCATGCATGCTCTCGCACGTGTTTAATAGACAAACCCTCTCGGGAGCGGGTTCAGGGTTGTGCATGTGCCCTATTTTTGCCCTGTCAGTGAGCCCCAGGGCAGCTGTGGCTACAAGGTAGCTTGCCACCATCAGTGTGTGTGTGTGTGTGTGTGTGAATGGGTGAATGACTGAATGTAGTGTAAATGACTTTGGTCGAGTCTCCTGACTTGAAAAAGCGCTTTATAAGTACAGGCCATTAACCATTTTAAAGTGGAGAAGGCGGGCCTTTTCAAAAATCTGCAAAAATCCTCCACTATAACTTTAATACTCCCTTTGTTGTCATGATTAGGCTAATGTGTTTTTTTCTATCTTAATTCTCATGTCTTGCAGGTTTGGAGAAAGACGTTTATAAGTTATTGTGCATTTTTTGTGTTTTCTTCTCTTCTCTTTTTCTCCCTCTCTTAATCCTATTACCTCTTCCTTTTTTACCTCCGTTTTTATGTCAATCGCAAATTTTTTGTCCCCCCCCAAAAAAGCTACTTGCAATAGTTTTATACACAATAACCAGGTGAAACCTATAGCAACAGCCACAATGGTCTACTTGTGAAAGCAAGTCTGTTTGGCAATTATCCAGCACCAGGACATCGATGGACATCAATTAGTGCTATATTTGCAAAAAGGGAACATTAACAAAGAAAATGAAAAGAGCAACATGTGCATGTTGGTGATGATGTTGGCGGAGACGTAGGGCACTGGTGCATCTGTCTAACATAATGACTGCAGCTCTGCTTTCTTTGCATTTAGGAAAAGCGCCTGTGAATATTTATGTGTTATTTTTTTTTCCAGTTAAATGCGGGATATTATTTCCATTTCTGGGAGAGGAACAGAAATAAAAGATGCAAATCTGGTCAACCTACAAGATGCACAAGCAATATAAAATAAAAGAACGCAAAAATCTCCCATTATTGCTGTAAAAATCAATTAGACATAAGTTAGGGACTGTTGGTCTCTGCAGCACAGTCCTCTAGTTTTCTCTGTCTAAATCAGACTAAATCAGACCCCTCCCCCTCCACTTAAAACACTAAACACTGACCTACCGAGCCAACAAAAACAACCGGCAAAAAATGAAGAGTTCCTTTGAAAAATCAAACATAAATTAGCTAACCTTGCAACAATTCTAAGTCTATATTTTGGAGGATGACAAGGGGGAGAAAACGTTACACCATAAAAGTTTAACCCACAAGTGTGAACTCTACCTCTCACATTCTGCCTGCCATGTAGGCAGGAGGAGGATGAATGCTTTACCTTGTGTTGGATGGGTTCTTTGGGACACGGCGGTTCTGCGTGAGTTTTGTTTACAGCCCTCTCTGCCCATGAGGTGAGCCTTCCAGGCCTGGAGTCGTGACAAAAACGGCACAGTGAGTTTCTTCCATCTCAGAAAACCTTCCTGACCAGGACAACCACAGGTGACTGTAGGCCAGTCAAAGGCTGACTGGTTGCCCTTCCTCCCACTAACATTGCGCTCTTTCATCAGGTTTAAACTCACAGCAGAGGCACACAGAAACTGCTCAATTTTGGACCCTTTTTAAGCTTGTAAGCAGTAAATGATACTAAAATTTATTTTCAAGTCTTACTTTTTATTTATTCTCTAGCTCAAATTTTTGCTGATTCATTTTTTTGTGTTTGTCTAGATGTATTCTTAAACTAGCTTAAACAGCTCATCTAGTGGCTTCTGGTGCAGCTGATACTATGTTAGACTGTTTACATCTAATTACACTTATTTAGTATAAATTCTAATTAAAACTACAGATTCTGCTCTGATGCAATGCAGGGGGAAAGCTCTTTAAACATTTGATCAAAAAGGATAACGAAAAGATGCAAACTTTCCGCTAAATGTTATTTACTGACACCAATCAATTGAACACTGAGGCATGTACAGCGGAGCAAAAAAAGGTATTTGGTCAGCCACTGAAGTTCTACTTGGAAAGATAAGAGAGGTCTGTAATTTTCATCATGGGTCCAATGCAACTATGCACAATTAAAATACAGTAAATGTAGGTTTTTAAAAAAAATCTATTTTTCAAATTACAGCGGAAAATAAGTATTCAGTCATTCACAAACTAGCAAGATGTTTGGCATTCACAGACCTATAACTTCTTTATGAATAGGGCATATTGTTACTTGTATTATGACAACTATTTCCAATCATGATCTCTAGAAAAGACACAGCCTCAAACAGTCAGACTCCAAACTTAACCATGGCAAAGACCAAAGACACCAGGAAGAAAACTAGACCTGTTCCAGGCTTGGAAGAGTGAAGCTACAATAGACAGCGGGCTGGTGGGAATAAATCAGCATTGAAAGAAAATGGAAGACATATCTGACCATTGATAATCACCCTCGACTGGGGGCCCATGCAAGATCTCATCCCATAGATCAAAATGATCTATGGGATGGGATGATCAGTAACACTACGAGGAGATGGAATTTTATCCTTCAGTGCCAGGCATGTCCCCTAGCTTAAGGAAGTACATTTCCAGGTCTGTCTGACGCAGAGAGAATATGGATGATCCAGAAGAGGATTTGGATAATATCATGTGGTCAGATGAAACCCAAACAGATATTTTTGCCACAAACTCAATTTGTCCTGTTTAGAGGAAGAAGAAAGCTGAGTTGCATCACAAGAAAACTATACCTACTGTCAAGCATGGTGGTAGAAACATCATTTCACCATATCATCAGCTAACGCTGAGCCTGGTTCTGCTGGAGGTTTCTTCCTGTTAAAAGGGAGTTTTTCCTCTCCACTGTTGCTACAAGCATGCTTAGTGTGAGGGATTACCTTCGAGTCGACGCAATCAACTGGTTTTCCTTATATAGAAAACTTTTAATCATCCATCCATTTTCAAACACGCTTAATCCCAAGTGGGGTCACGAGGGGTGCTGGTGCCTATCTCCAGCTGTCAATGGGCGAGAGGCGGGGTACACCCTGGACAGGTCGCCAGTCCATCGCAGGGCAACACAGAGACAAACAACAATTCATGCACACACTCACACCTAAGGAGAATATAGGTAATTACCCTAACATTCATGTTTTTGGACTGTGGGAGGATGTCACAGTACCCGAAGAGAACCCACGCATGCTAAGGGAGAACATGGAAACTCCATGCAGAAAGACCCCGTGCCGGGAATCGAACCCGGAACCGCTACCCACCGCGTCACTGAGCATCTTTTAATCAATAATATTCAATTCCATTCAACAATCAATAAATAAATTGAATTGAAAAGCAAAGAATGTGAAGTTAGCAGGCTGTGAAAATATGTGTTTTACCCTGACACCTGTTTGGGCCTTAAGCCTACTATTATGTAGGAGGTAGTTTTTTTTTTCTTTTTTTCTTTTCTCTTTTGCTTAAGGTATAAAGAAAATACAAAAAAAAACATATCTTAGCATACAAAGGCAAAGCCATTCCAGTTTGTTGATGTTTATGCAATCTCACCTCCTCTCCTGGTGGAAAGTTGTTGTGACATAAAGGACAGTGGTTGGAGGTGGAGCCTTTACCTAAAACAAGCGCTGGAACACAAGCATCATACATTTAAACAGACTACCATGCGGTTACAGGAAACCAATAAAACCTGTACAAACAGTAAAATACAGATGAAGAAGTGATTAAAACCAAATTAATTTAAACTTGTCCTAAAAGATGGCGATAGGCAGACCTTAACTTAAAGGCAATGCAAACAGATCAGAGCTTAATTATTTACATAGCATATGGCTGCTGACAGCATAGGCCGTAACAGGAATATAAATTCATGGCTAATTAAACATAGTTTTTAATGAAAATGTCTCATCTGACACAGAAAATGTGTATCTGTAAAGCTGATTATAAAAGATAATTACACATCAACTTCAAAGAGTCTTCCAAAAAAAAAAAAAATTGGGGGCAAATAGTTAAAAAAAAACAGAAGAAAGCTACATATGTATTATTTCACCATTGCTGTTTGTTGAATATATAATTTTGATGAACACGCAGTATTTATTTTTGTGATATGATTTTATTTTAAGCCACCTAGGAGGAATTATCTTGTTTGTGCTATTTGCATTGCCTTTATCATGTTAGGCGTTGCTGATTTATTTACAGATTCGATATAGTAGTTGGATCAACTCACTGAACATACAAAGAAAATATCTATCATCTCTAGTTGAGTCGTAGCCTTTAAAGCAACATATTACAAAACGATTTGTTTTCTTTCCCTAGAACATTGTAAAGACTTTCAATGCACCGAATACGACTTACGGTTACAGTTTGAACCCTTGACGTGGCGACTGAGATCCTCAGAGAGCACAGCCTCTGAGCAACGTGGACACTGGCTGAACTTGGACCTGTTTTCACATTCCCGCAGCAGGTGCTCTGTGAGGCTCGCTATCTCAACTACCTGTGAACAGAACAAACACATACAGAGGGGCTCTCAGTGGAAGGCCTGAAACAGACTCTCAAATGAACTACTTTAAAAAAGGTTACAAAAAAAAAGCAAGTGCCAAACCGAAAGGATTATACAATAATATGGAGGAAGGATCGTACCTGTCTGCACTCATCACAGCGCCGCAGCATCAGACACTGCTTCCAGTAATGAAGGTCCAACCCATCCTCTGTGAACGACTCATCTTTGTTGCCGCAAAAAATGCACATGCTGGAATAGATCGTAGATATCCTATTAACTCAAGGTGCAGCAGCAGTGAAATGATAATAAACAAGCTAAACAATTTTACATTAAACAAAGAAGGACGTGACGGAATGTTAGAACATTTTTTCATCAACTAAAATTTTTATTTATCGGTTTTATTTCATATGATTTTTAAAGATCTCCAGTGGATTTAAAATAACATACTTATCCAGATAATCCATGGATTGCTGTACATCTACGCAGTCAGTTGTCTTGCTCTGAGGTTGTTTTGTGTCACCTGGTAACAAATAGGTCCAAAAATAAAGCTTGCACTTAAAATTGCAAGATCTTTTTTTTCAGAATTGCACAAAGAGTTTTAAAACAAAAATAATGCAGATAAAAAAAACACAAATAATTATTGTCATAATCAATAAATCACAATAATCATTGCAATGCTTTAGCCAGATTATAAGGACCTCTGTGAAATAACATTCAAGCAGGTGTTAATCATACCTTTCAATAAGCCAGGACTTCTGTATCAATAATACTATAGCTATCTAAAATGTTGTGTTTTCATTCACTCTAGTGGTGCGTTCACATCAAACATGTTTTGAACGTCATGTTAAAGGAAAGCTCTTTGTTTACACCTTGAAGCTTTCTCTCTCCAGTTCTTTTTCCTGAAAAGAGATCGCTTGGGACAATCTCTTTAAATAGCACTTCATAATGTAAATTTATTAAATAACCATCAGACATGACAAAAGAATTCTATAGAAATGGTAATCTTATTCAGATCAGAGAAGTTGTTTTGAGTTAAAGGAAGCAGCTGCTTACCAACCGGGCTCACTTCTTATGAAGCGACCATGATAAACAGTTAGAGAAGCATTTTATACATTTCCAATATGCCACATCATCACATCATTCACGATAGCAGATGAGGAGACGTAGCTCCAACTTATCAAAATATTACTTTGTTTTTAGATCAAGGACATCGCTCTCATTCCATTCCCAAATCTTTGCCACATGCGATAGAGGAACTGTCCTAATAAACTACTGGGAAAAACATTAATTCTGACACATAACAGGCAGGTAATATTAGGGTGTAATAAACTCACACATTATCAATGATAAATATCCTAACAGTCAAAAAGACAATAAATGGCTAATATTTGGAAGTCAGATGCTCTGGACACTTAATGTTGAGGCGTTGAGCTCCTCTGTTCTTTCTTTCCTTTTAATCGAGAACGTGCTTGGCTTTTTTTGTAGTAGTTTAAACATATCTTTTAGGCAAGAAATTACACCTCAAAACATCTATGCATTCAGTTCATCAGGATTATGATCCTTCTTAAATATCCTGTTCTTGTTTGGAGCAGCAGAGCATCCCACATACTGCCAGGCGACAGTGCTGGGAGACCCCAGTTAAAAGCTCACAGAAGTTGTCTTCTATTTTTAGTTTGACAATTTTTAGGTTTTCTGTAAAAACTCTAAATAAATAAGCCTGCCACTTTGGACGCTTGAGCACTCGATATACCGCTTCCAAATGATGGAAACGCTGCAGGACTCGCCACTCCCGCTGGTTAAATTGTGCAGCTGAGCTCTTACTGCTCTAAGATGCTATCTCCCATCCGCTTTGCATCTAAATTAGACGCCCTGAATCTCAAAACATGCTTAACGGGGACGCACAATGGGGGAAAATTATCTTAATAGAAATAAAGGCTACTACCTATGGCCAAATACGGTTGTTTTCTTCTTTAGTTTGACCTTTTTTTTCCTTTTATTTTCTCTACACTTTTTTCTTTATTTCAGCATTCAGCATGCTGAGGTGAGTGAATCTTCAAAAGAACATGCACAGCACTTACATCAATAAAGCACAGCCTTGACAGACAATATAGTGATGAAGTAATATATTAAAATGGTATAAGTAAAACACGTAGTAATACAACAAACATGCATATTTTTTGGCAAGGTTCAATCAATTAAATAGGTAATTTCTTCCAAATTCTTCTTAGTTTTCTGTTATTTATAATAGTTAATAACAGATAACATAAAATTAAGACTAATCTCTAGAGTTTAAGTGAATAAAACTTTTGGAGAGAATATGCTCTTTACTTTTTCAAATGTTTTGTTGAGATGCTAAAAGAACAAATTAGGTAATTTGAATGACTAATGTACAGACCTCATGTTTTTCTATTTGCTCATGAGAATAAAGTTTTCTTTGACATAAGACCTTCTAACAGAGTGTCTATTCATCACTGACATTTTTTTTTAACTAAGTGAATCTGTTTTTTACATTTTTAAAAGTTAATATCCCACCAATGATGATGAAGATATGACCTTGTTTTCAGTTGTCTTCAACCACCAGTGTTTACATACCAACTCTGGTATCTTTTAGAGATTCTTTCTCATCTTTATCTTGTTCTTTGTTGGATGTTCTGCCTGAAGTGTGTTCAGTCTCTCTTTCCTAAATACCAGATGAGAAGAAACATGTCAGAACGTGCGACAGTCTTCTGTTGGACAGAAGTCATAAACAGAAATGAGCAAATGTTAAAGTGAGCTGATGTAATTGCAGAGAGAGGACAGTTGCACCCACTGTGATGTCTTTCAGGGCAAACAGCTGTCTCTGAAGGGAGTGGATTTCCTTCTCCTTTTTTCTAAGCGGATGTCTGACACCTTTCATCACAGTCTGAGAGAGAAGCAGCATGCCGTTAGCCTATTTGTGTTACACATGCCCTGTATATCTGTATAACATGCTGTACGATTCTAGATGCACCCCGCTTATATAATGTAAGAAATTAGATTGCTTTGGTTACTATAACGACAAAAAGAGCCAAGGTTTGGCGGTAGCCTATTTGTATTAATCAGAGAGAGTCAGGGTTATTGTTTCTGCTATCATATCTCCCGGTAAGTATAAAACAGTTTCCAAAGAAGGCCACAATGTACACTACACTAGAAAGAGTGACAAGGGGGTAATTTGTTAAACAAATAATCAAAAAAGGAGGAAGGCAGTAGGTTCTGTCTGATGAGCTTTACATTCATGCAAATCCTCATCTGCCTTTTTGACAAAGTTTGGTCAAAATACTTGTCATACGAGTTCAGCTTAAAAGAATGCTCCCACCTAGCATACCTAAGAGTATCCCTGCTCATCTACCAGCTGCTCTGTTGGACTGCTATCTGTTTACAATGATGAATACACCCTTTGTCCATCAGTTGGACGGAACTATTTAACCAGTGCGAGGACATCAAAGAAATACATGAAATTTCAAATAAACAATATTTGCCTGAGCTTCTGGAGTTATCCCATCAATCTTTTCGAATCCATCAAAGAGGGTTTTGTAGAGGAAGTTCTTCCGTGTGGCAGCATCATTAGGTGGGAGGTGGCTGAGAACAGCACCTTTGTGTTGCTCATACAGGTATAAGATGATGCGTACTGCCAGATCTCGAACCCCTTTTGCTCTGTGCTCCAGAGCAGCTGTGCAGAACTGGAATAAGACAAAACTAATTAGAGAAACATGAATGAATACTGAAAAATGTGTTTATAGTTTTAACATTTGTTGGTATTTAGCAGAAAAATATTCAGTTTAATAATTTTACTAAGGGTTTTTTTTGTCTGTGACTTCCTTTAAAGTATGTTGGTCAGAAATAATTGTTGTTGTTTTTTTATATACTGATAAAATTTGTTGAATTTTGTCACACAGTAAAATAAACACTGAAACCAAAATAATCATACTGGGTTCTCAAACCTTGTTTTTCATTACATTCGAGGATGTTTTTAGGACTAATTCTCCTAAGTTTAAAGACGGGCGTTCAGTTTGGATCCTGCCTTTTGCCCATAGACTAATGGATATAGGCACCAGCCCTCATGATCCTGATAGATAACTGGTAGAAGACGCATGGATACTTCAGGATGTGGATAGTAGGGCTAACTGAAGTGGGTTTTATTCTTTAAGAGACATTCAACACCTTGCAATTTCAAAATAAAGTCTAGTAACGTCTCGGTCATGGTTGGATAGTGTAAATGTAGGCCTAGGAGAGAAATGATTAATAATAACAAGCTAAACCTGTATTAATGGACTATTTCCTTCTAAATGAAACATGGGCAGGGAACATGAGTCTCTAGCTATTAATAATAGTCATCATCTGTGTGAAATATTAACCCCTGTCCTTCAGATTAAGAGATATTTAAGGCAAATGTCTTTTCATGAATATTGGTTTTGGTAATTGGGGGGAAGTTGCACCAATATTTCTTTGGGGCCTAGCAAGAAAAGTTTGGGAACCACTGGATTAAACAGATGTCATGTTCTGGCATCAACCTTAAAAAACCATATCAGTTGATCTCTACTTCTTACCTTGAAGAAATTTGGGTTTTCTGTTATTGAAAAGTATTAAATAAATACTCAAGTCTAGTGAATGGTTCTTTGAAGGGTCAGTATGGTATAAATAAATTCAGTCTAATCATTTATACAATCTCTCATGAAAGACAGCACAATATATTTAACATCTGATTTCTTTTACGTGATCTAACCTTGCAATCATGATGTAAAGAGGCAGTTCAGGCCACTGATCACGTGTTTGAAACATCCAAGTAAAGCCTGCATGTTTGTATCACTGTGTTTGTGTGCCTAGACATGAGAGAAGTGTCGTTTCAGTTGGCGGTTTATTCAGCCTATCAGCCTCCTGCCTCGTTCTCAATATTAGCTTTCAATGCAAAGTTGGACAGTATGGCTTAAAGACGACTAAACAGAGTCAAGAATACAGACTTTGGAGAGGTGTACCCTGACCTCTACTTGACACTATGATGATGACAATAAAGATGAGCTTTAATTTTGATGCTATAATGAGTTTATGCTGACATGTCTACGGGTGAGAAACCTTTTGGCAAAACGTTTGTTCAAGTCAGGTTAGATTGCGGAAATCGGAGCTCTAAGCTGCTGTTTGTCCAGTATCTGCATTACAAGCTCTGTGAGGCGACAGCTAAATACCTGCAGGACGATTGAGAGGCTTAAGTAAACATTTATCTGTTAAACTAATGGGAGGGAGATTTTCTTTAAACCAAGACAATTGGTAGTTCAATCTGTCCACAGTGAGTAATTTGACCACCATACCACTTTTATTAGACTCCCAGTACTGCTGTTTCAGGAGGATATGTCTGAGTCATAAATCTTTAATAAATCTGTCCACAACTCGGTTTTTCTGGGTGGAGTGATGTAAAATGTTTATCTTGAACTCAAATAGCCCAAACTGTCTACTTGCAAAACCATAATGTGATCTGGATTTGGCAGGTATTTGTTTCAACCTCTGCATACGGTCCCTGAGAAGGATGGTTTGATTAATGGTATATATATATATTTTTATTTTTTCAAACCGTTAGAAATGTTAGTAATGTGTCTGACTGTTTTGAATATATTCTTATATAATGAATTTTTTTTCTTGAAGACTCATTCTACTTCATGGTGTCAGGCAGGTTATTCCAGGTCTGGCTGTTTCACACATAGTTATGAGTGGCTTTATCACATTAACTTTTAAATATTTTTTTTAATATATATATATATTTTCTTTTTTTTATAATTGACACTGTTTACATTCTAATGTCTGTCGTGAATAGAAAACATCTAAAAACCTAAAGCAAGAAGTAGTTTTGCTTGGTCATTTTCATGGTTATTAATGATTAAAATGGTTACTAAGCCACTTCCTGTAACCCAAACCTCCAAATTACACTGCAAAAAATATAAATCTCAATAAGTTATTTTTTCTTAAAATAAGTGTGTTTTTCCTTGATTTGAGGAGATAAGTAAGACACTTTGCCAATGGAACAAGACAATTTCCTTTTAAAATAAGAAAAAACTATTTTATCGTCTTATTTCAAGTAAATATTATCTAACTATCTTATTTTAAGAGAGAAAATACTCATTCCATTGGCAAATCATCTTATTTACCTGCTCAAATTAAGGCTAAATATACTTAATTTAAGCCATTTTTTACTTATTTCTGGATTGTTTTTGCAGTGTAGTTATTATTATGATTCTCTTCCCTTTGAAAATGTAGAGCTCTGTGAAAAGGGCTAGAGACAAAATGTTATTCAGACCATAATGGTTCAGCTGTCAATCTGAAGAAGTCATTTTATAAAAAAAAAAAAAAAAAAAAAAAAGGTTCTCTGACATTTTATATACCAAAGCTAATTTCATAACAAAGGGAGGTCCTATAAGGCTAAGACTTTATATGATTTCTTTTACAACTGTATGCTGTTACTATGAATTATAATCAGTAGCAAAGGCTACTGATTCAGTTTCTGATACAGTATGTCAGGTATGCTGGCCTGGCGCACATTTACGGCTCAAGCCATTTCCTCCAGGGTGTGGATAAACCATGCCATGACCAGCAGTGGAAACTTTGTCAGGGTATGGTTCTCTGGTCGGTTCCGATCGATATGCATAGGCTTGATCAAATCTAGAAAGAGGACTCTGGCGCAGTCAAATTCCAAAGGTTTGGTGCGAAAGCACCGTCATTGTGGGTAATCACATCACTGAGGTAACACTGCCTGTGGGGAAGACTGCTATTTAGAGATAAACAGTGTTGAAAGGCCAACCATCCTTTGCTCAACATGCTCAGGGACAACATACCTTTACTCTGTTTCCTCCACCGACCAGTTCTCATCTTTAATTGCAGGGAATTCCCTTTTCTTGACTCTGGCCCCTGGCACAGAGCAAATCACCCCAGTAACAACACAGGGAAAGCAAGAAATGTTTGACCTATCCCTGAGATACCACTGTAGAGCAGCACAGAGCGTCTATCAAATGAGCTGAGAGACTTGTTCAAAAATGGTGACACTGAAACTGGTTCTTTTTAAATACCTTAACAGGTTTATTCTCATCTGTACTTCATATTCAGAAAAGGAAAGGATAATTTAGGATTCAGCCCTAACGTTTTATTATGATATATACTTCTCTTTGCCATACAGTTTAGTGGGGTAATTTATTTTCATTGGTCTGGAAACAAAACTGAAGAGTGATTGCCTTATGTTGATTATATTAAATACTGCAACTCAGAGTAAATTAACTAAAATGGCTTCTATAAATTAATAAAATATGGAATAAAAATAGTTGTCAATTCAAGCTATTTATCCAAAGCAAGGTATGTGTTTTCAGCATTAAAGCTTTTTTAAGGCAGACAGAGAGTGAAACAATCTGTGGGATAAAGCACAGCTCAATCTACACTGAGGATGTTTCCCAAGCAAATAAATGGGGCGGACGCCACAAAAGAGAGTTTGCCTCTGAGCAAGCATCCCAGAACATGGTCCTCTGAGGAAAAAACTGACAATTTGTTCTCACTGACAAATGTCAAACAGAGTTTAAAGGAGGGCAAAGAGGATTATGGGGATTGTAGCGTTGGTGGAGTAAAGGAAACCGGCACAACAGGGCTAAAGCTGAAGAACTGCTTATAAACAAAAGGAATCAGTGAAAACCACTAATGCAAATGGTTTGTGGGTGGGTAACAACAGACTCAGCTGAGAGTTTACCGGAAGTCTGTTTAAACTGGGGCTTACACTGTGCGATTTTTTGCCCTTTTCGGACCGACTTTCCATTCATGCAAAAAAATTTCGATTGGGCCGATCACTGCGGAGCTAAATTGACCTGGAATGATCCCAGCTTTTTTGTTTTATTATGGCAGCTAAAAGCTGATATTCTGAGTCAGTTCATCCATCTTAATTTATTTGTCACAACTTCATCAGAGCACAAACCAAATATTCATAATATTATCTTATGCATACGAGAGGAAGTCTCTCAATACATGGATAAGATATCTGAGTTCATTAGAGATACTCAGAGCTATAGCTATAGACGGAAGTTAGGGAATGCCCTATATTTGTTGTCTTTGCTACAACTAGATCAGAACGACACTTTCTTAGGAGTTAAATGTAACATCATACTGTATAGTATACACCAAAAAAAACAGGGAGAAATACTGGAGACAAGCAGAGCTAGGACTGCAATCTATTCCTGCACTCTTATTTATAGACAGATTTGTAATTGTTTGGTAAGCCTCATTACGTTTGATAACTTTATTAAAATTTAAAGTTTCACTCTGCACACTGTTTAGTAATTTTCTATAATGCTGTTTCCAAAGTCTGACTATCATATTTGTTCCACAGTCGCCATTCATTGTGCGAGGAAGGAAGAGTTTACTATCATTAATGGTTTTTACCTCTTATATAATTTTTTTTTTTACTAACAGGTATTATGCCGTAAAAGTTTAAAAAAAACAATCCACTGGACTTTGTTTCCAAGGTTTGAAGACGTTTCGCTTCCCGTCCAAGAAGCTGTCTCAATTCAAAATGTCTGGATTCGCATCGAGTTTGAGGCATCGAGTGTTAGCCTGTAATATCTGAAACCTGTCTACGATTGCGAAAGGTGGGTCGTTAAAGGGGGGATTGTTCACCTGGCTGAAGGGAGGAGGTACTTTCCTCCCCTGTGATGGGGTGGGGGTTGTGGGGATACCTGGAAGGAATCAACTCAATAACTGAATTGTAAGTTTTTGGAAGTTGGAATCCGAGTCCACCTCCTTTGTTTAAGGTTGGTTTTTCTCTCTTAACATAGATGGCTTCCTTCACACCCCTCTCAAACTACCTATTTGTGAGAGGCTGTTTGGTTTCTCCAATCTAAAGATCAGAGCATTCCTCGCTGCACTGAACAGCATACACCACTCATATTCAGTCTGGGGGTTTTATCATTAGGATGCACTAGTCTCTTTTTAAGGGTCTTGTTTCATTTGAAATGTACTGGGATTTTGTGTTTGGAAAAAATCCTCTTGAGTTTTTCAGAGATTCCAGCAACATAAGGGATTGTGATGTTTTTGCGTTTAACTTTATCACCGCTATTTCAGGGTTCCTACAGCATAAGGCAAGTTAAATTCAAGACTTTTTAAGACTTTTAATGCCACTTGAAATAAAAATTTAAGACCAAATTCACAAGAAACACAAGAAAAACCTGCTTGCGACAACTTAACCCAAAGGTTTATTTTAACATAAACCACTGCACTAATGTTTAAAATTTTGAAAAGCTTCCCATACAGGAAGAAAGCTAAAAACACACAAATGACAGATATATTTTAACACTTGTTTAACTGAATTCACAAACTTTGTTTTAGCAGGGAACAAAACAAATCAGCCACAACATAACCAGTGCTAAATCTTTTTTGCAGCTATTTTTCTTTGTATCGTTTTCTTAGTATGTTTGATTAGGTGATAAGTGGAGGCGTTGCAGAGACAAGGGTGGAACAAAACTGAGAAATACCGGCTGTTTCTCGGTAACTCGATTTTGACACTTTGTGTTTCGTGCTTCGCATGTGACTACACTTCCTTAATTCCCATCGTTCCGAGCTTGAATGACTTTATGCACAAAATACACTGTGCCTCATGAATGTTCCCTGGTTTTAGCCATGAAGAAAACTCTTGGCTGGAGCCAATTTTCGTTACATTTACACTTGCTCATATTTTCCAGACAAAAAGTAAATCGTGCATCTCCCAAATGTCCCGGCTGCAACAACGCTTTTATTGGTTCCGCTATCGGGACGGAACCAATAATTGAGAGCCATTATTTTATTTAAATTAAAAAAAAAGGTCAATTTTACTGTTTCATTTAGATTACAAAAATAAATAATAAAAATAATTCTATTTATGATGTTTTAAAAATTAAGACCTACGAAAGACTGATTCAAAACATTTTAATACCAATTAAGGCCTTAGTTTTTTTTGAAGAATTCAATGCCTTTTAAGACTTTTTAAGGCCCCGCGGGAACCCTGTATTTTCTGCTGCGTGTCTTTTGGATTTCCTTGCTAAACGCCCAGTTTGGGTATCCACAGGTTTGGAGAGCGTCTTTGATGTGTTTCTGTTCTTTGTGCTTCCCTTCTGTTTTAGTAGGGACATGACACATCAGTATCTTCTTTTTGACTGAAACCACCCACTGGAACACAAACTCTCGGCCTCAGAACCTTACAACACCGGGCAGAACATGTCCCTACTATAACAGAAGGGAAGCACAGAGAACAGAAACGCACCAAAGATACTCTCCAAAACTGAGAGTTTGTGTTCCAACTTCCAAAAACTTACAATTCAGTTATTAAGTTGATTCCTTCCAGGTATCCCCACAACCCCCACCCCATCACAGGGGAGGAAGGTACCTCCTCTATTCAGCCAGGTGAACAATCCGCCCTTTAACGACAATGTTTTGAATTGAGAAAGCTTCCTGGACGGGAAGCAAAATGTCTTCAAACCTTGGAAACAAAGTCCAGGGGATTGTTTTTTAAACTTTTACAGAATGACTATGACCTGGATGACTAAGAATCTTCACCAGCAACAGGTATTATGTTCTGAGACATTTCCAGCTATTCATGTTGGTTGTTTTGTGATTTTCAATTACAGGTTTTAGAATTAGTTTATAAACTACTGCTAATAGTCCAGCAGCACTTGGAAACCGAGTTGCCCCAGACTTTCTTTGGCAATCAATTTTTCAGATTTAAATGGTCAAAACATTGGCAAACGTTTATATACAGCAAAAGTCTCTCTTAGTCGGGACTTAAACCTGGGAAGGCTGCAGGAAGGACTGATACCATCCTTGGTCTTGAGTTTTCCCCCTTGCCGCCACCTTGCCCCATATTGGCAGAGATTTTGAGAATTCCTTAAAATTATGTTAAACACTTTTTATATAAAGTTTTTTATAAATTGCTGCAGTTTTGCTCTTTGATCCATATCTATAAAACGTATCCAAACAGGAGGTTGGTTTCCATGAGGGTTTATAAACTGTAGCAGGTGATAATAAAAGGCTTTGCAGTGTTAATTAAGTTACAGGTGAAGTTAATTATTTCAGAAGTGTAGCTTATTAGACCCATGATGTGTTATACAATATCTAACGTGCTATGAGAAGCAGTGATTTCAATACGCACAGCTTGAAAAAACGACATTTGGGTTTTCCAGTGTTAATCCTGTAATCATTAACAAGCGGATTAAATATTTAAATACCGGAGAAGTTTTAAACTTAATCACCACATTGTTTTTAATAATTGCAGATTACCAAGGATTTGTCTCTAGTTATCTGGCCCAACACTGGATTGGTGCCAATGAGGAACTTGTGTGAAGCAAACGCTAGCATGCGGTAGCACTGGAATAACATCGGGATGAAGAGGCTTTAAGAGGAATGCTTTTCTGATTGTTCAGAATTAATGGATGATATTTCAACTCATTTAAAAAAATAATAAATGAAAAATTGTAAGACGTACACACATTGATCCATAAACATTATATTTCATGCACGGTCAATCTATCATCACAGTCATGTAACTGATGTTCATTGGTGTAAAGAAGGGAGCAAAAACAGATTAATAAAAAAAATTCTGAATTCTACATGTTAATTCTCACATCTAAACTCAATATTAAAAAAACGCAAGGTTTGTGGAAATAATTCCAGATTTATCAAAAGCGAAAAACCTTTACTATCATATTTTTGGTCCTTTACCGTCATGACATTTTCCAGGGTGAAGCCGGAGTTCTCTATACCCAGCTCCTCAAGGAGTTTTTGGAGGACTTCGGTCCGACTTTGAGCCAGACGGGAGGGAAAGGAGGATTTGAATGGCTTCACTAATTCACCAGGAATGATCTGCAGGGCTCTTAGATCCTTCAAAAGAGCTATTTCCTGCACGAAAGCCAAGAGGAAGAATGAAAATTAGATTTACAGTGTTGGATTTATTGATTTGTTTGTAGACCTTCAGCCTTTCATTAGGTAGAGTGTATACTGTAAGCCTCTAATAAACACTTGTGTGTTAGCATAGGAATTTATCTTTCAACACAGGAATCCTGTAAGTCGACATGTCAAGACAGATGTTTCCAGGTGTGATGCAAAGAAGAAGGCTCTGTTAATACACTGTCAATGTAAAGGAAATACATTAAATAACCATACAGAATAAAATAAAAGACAACAAAATTTAATATTTAGTTTGACAGGCATGATAAATAATCAATCAATGGTTTAATGAGAGTTTGGAGAAGATTCCAGCATCCAGGGAGGCTTGGTGAACTCTGAGCAAAAGAAAACACTCCTCTTTTAACACTAACATCCATGAAATACTTCCCTGCCACAGATTCTGCGGTGCAGTTACAGTGCTATAACGTTTTTGCCTCTATGATTATTTTGTTTTTTTGTAACACTAATATACACTATATTGCCAAAAGTATTTGCTCACCCATCCAAATTATTGGAATCAGGTGTTCCAATCACTTCCATGGCCACAGGTGTATAAATTCAAGCACCTAGGCATGCAGACTGTTTTTACAAACATTTGTGAAAGAATGGGTCGCTCTCAGGAGCTCAGTGAATTCCAGCGTGGAACTGTGATAGGATGCCACCTGTGCAACAAATCCAGTCGTGAAATTTCCTCGCTCCTAAATATTCCACAGTCAACTGTCAGCTGTATTATAAGAAAATGGAAGTGTTTGGGAACGACAGCAACTCAGCCACGAAGTGGTAGGCCACGTAAACTGACGGAGCGGGGTCAGCGGATGCTGACGCGCATAGTGCGAAGAGGTCGCCAACTTTCTGCAGAGTCAATCACTACAGACCTCCAAACTTCATGTGGCCTTCAGATTAGCTCAAGAACAGTGCGCAGAGAGCTTCATGGAATGGGTTTCCATGGTCGAGCAGCTGCATCCAAGCCATACATCACCAAGTGCAATGCAAAGCGTCGGATGCGGTGGTGTAAAGCACGCCGCCACTGGACTCTAGAGCAGTGGAGACGCGTTCTCTGGAGTGACGAATCGCGCTTCTCCATCTGGCAATCTGATGGACGGGTCTGGGTTTGGCGGTTGCCAGGAGAACGGTACTTGTCTGACTGCATTGTGCCAAGTGTAAAGTTTGGTGGAGGGGGGATTATGGTGTGGGGTTGTTTTTCAGGAGCTGGGCTTGGCCCCTTAGTTCCAGTGAAAGGAACTCTGAATGCTTCAGCATACCAAGACATTTTGGACAATTCCATGCTCCCAACTTTGTGGGAACAGTTTGGAGCTGGCCCCTTCCTCTTCCAACATGACTGTGCACCAGTGCACAAAGCAAGGTCCATAAAGACATGGATGACAGAGTCTGGTGTGGATGAACTTGACTGGCCTGCACAGAGTCCTGACCTCAACCCGATAGAACACCTTTGGGATGAATTAGAGCGGAGACTGAGAGCCAGGCCTTCTCGTCCAACATCAGTGTGCAACCTCACAAATGCGCTTCTGGAAGAATGGTCAAAAATTCCCATAAACACACTCCTAAACCTTGTGGACAGCCTTCCCAGAAGAGTTGAAGCTGTTCTAGCTGCAAAGGGTGGACCGATGTCATATTGAACCCTATGGATTAGGAACGGGATGTCACTTAAGCTCATATGTGAGTCAAGGCAGGTGAGCAAATACTTTTGGCAATATAGTGTATTTTTAAATAAGAAAATTTTATCACTTGAAGAAGACAGCCTGAAGACACATTTGAGAACATTATTTTATTAATCTAAAGGGAAACATGATCGAGAGTCTTTAATTTTTTTTGGAGGAATTTTGGCTCAGTCTTCTTCTCAGAACGGCTTTAATTCAATCAACCCATTGGCTTTCAGAAACAACGGCTGGTTTAAGATCAGGCCACAGCATCTTAATTGGATTTAAGTCCATATTTTATCTAGGCCAAGACTTCTGGAAACAACAGCAGATGCAGGCTCCCATCAGGACTTTTCCAAATGTAGACAATCTTGGTCGCTTTCTTTATAATTCTTTAAGCACTAGTGGCCTTTATTTTATTATTTTTGAAAGGGAACAGACAAGAGATGGGACAAAGAGAGGAAGAGATGCGGCAAAGGTCAACAGGCAGGAACTGGAACCTGTGACAGCTGCTTCGAGTCATGTGGTGAACCCCTACGCCCCCGCCACACTCCCATCTTTCTATGGTCAGCAAAGATTTTTCTGAGAAAAAAACCAATAGATTTGTCCATTTAAGCTCCTGTCCTTCATATTAGCACAGCTTAACACTATACCAGGGCCAAGGGAGGCCTGCAGTGCTTTAGATGTTTTTCTTTCGTAGCAAAAAAGTAAAGCAGTTGATGTAAGACCTCCAGGAAAGATTCAACACTTCCATGTTTCCTCTGTTTTCGGAAAAAGGACCCATAATGTGGTTCATTTGAGGTTTAAACCATTAGAAATGGCAGTAACCTTGCTGGCTTTGTTTCAAATATATTGTTATATAATGAGTTGGTTTTCTTGATGTCTCAGTCAAATTCATGCAGCCAGGCAGGTTATCTTTTATGCCATTTCAGATCTGGCTGTTTCAGACATAGTTATGAGTGGCTTTATTACATTAACTTCAAAATTTACCAAGTGGGAGGGTATGTTTTGCATAAGGCTAGATTTTTTTTTTCCTTCTCTGATTATTATATTTATTGATGTAGAAAAAGATCTAATTTACAAACAAAAATAACAAATAAAGGAAGAAATAAATAATTCAAACCTGCACGCCTTCCATCTATACACAAACCTGCAAACACTTCAAAGTCTCTCCCTGACATGAAAGTACCACAGCGGAGAACAACAACTATATCCACTCTTCTGATGAGCTCACACATGTGAGTTCCAGGTGGTTCCAGTTACGGTTAGATGGGGTAGTCGGGAGAGAACAACATCAAGGTTGTTTAACACATTACAACATGTCTTTATTTGCCCCATACCGTTTATTAGGCAAGACCACAGAAAATTAGACGTCTAGACAACTTTTAGACTATAAAACATTTTAAAAGGTTAACACATTTTTGCTGAGAAAATGACTTTTACTGTTTGCGAAAATCTTTTCTTTCAGCTTCATAAACCCTAAATGCTATTATCATTTCCTTTTCTATGTTTTGCATATTCTCTGAGTTTCCTCGTATATAACAATAAACTTATAATTTGATGTAAAGCTACCTGGTCGACCAGCTCGTTGGTAGAACTAGAGGAGAAAAAGTCACAGCACTGGTATCAGAGATGCATCAATCCACCGTAACGCATCAGCCAATACTGATGCTACTGTTTAATGAACACACCGTGTACCTTGGTATGTCACTAAAGGTATAAGGCTTGAAATAAACATTGTTAAAATGAAGGAAAAAAATCCCACAGATATAAATGTATGTGATATGATGTATTAACTAATAAAGTATACATTAGCAGCAATAAGACATAGATAATACTTTCATATAAATTATAAACTGTAACTGTATTTCTGCGATATATATATATAAAAAAAAAAAAGAAATGACAGCTAATTAGTCAATATTGGAGTCGACATCCGATCCTGGTAACCCTGGCCAGTTGTTTGTTGTTAGTTACAAGACAGAGCCATCTAGGTGGTTTTTGTTGTCTTTTCTAGTGAAGAAAAACAAACACAGCTAACGTGTATTTGACTAAAGAATGGCAAGTCACTACTGTTATTATTTTAAGTCATTTTTAAAATCACAGATGATGAACTATGAGCCGCATGTCTTTTAAACAGCTGAAAGCTGGATCTGTCTGATCAGACAGGCTAATTCATCTTAACTTAATATAGCTGTGTTACATATTAAAGTCAAAGATGACAAACGGACATCACATCATGCACAATTGGTAACATAAACTATAAGTGAACTTAGTGTGCAATTGTCAAAATATAATAACCGTTTTATAATCATAGCTGTAAAAATAAATGTCAGGGATTTAAATAATACAGCATTTGGAACTCCAATTAAGAACAAAGAGTATTTCAATTTTCATTTTTTGCTGTATTTGTATGAGACACCACAAAGGGAAACATGCTGAATGGTCTGTGAAATATAATACGCCCGTTGTTACAGTGACAAATGTGACACAAGGCAGAGCATGGGATAGGATCAGCTGACTGAGGCAGGTCAGAAACTACAATGGCAGGACGAAGAAATGTTCCAACAAGGCAGGGCTCTGGGTGTGGCTTTAAGCTAAACCTCCCAAACCAGATACACTATCTCCTTTAATTGCTGATACTATTCTTGACAATAAGTTGGAATTCCACAGTAAAATCAATCCAGGCGGGGGGTGTTTTGTCTTGACAAAAATCTGGCTCCATTAATACATCTGTGACTGTAAATTACATTGGATGGTTCAGTGTCTTTAGGCTTAGGCTATAGAGCGGAAAGCTCCAGTAACTGCGGAGGTGGTGGACCTTTATGTGCATAAAATGCTGTAATTACAGCTTACTGTTAATTAGGGCTATAACAATTGCGAAACCATTCCTTTCATGACCCTGGAGAAATAAGCTGGTGGTGAGTACATTCCTTCCAGGGGCCGCTGGTAGGACTGTTCATTAATATTAACAAGCATCAAACTCTTACCCTGACACTTTAATTGTGGTTTCATACTTGGAAACTGGTCTGCCCACATACCGCTAGCTTATTCACTTTCCAACCAGAGGAAATAGTATATTGAATCTGTGTAAACAAACATGAAAGAGACATAAAACACATTCTATCATCCTCATTTTAAGGAACCTAATCCTCCATATCCATCATATTAAGTTTAAAGTTTGCACTGTGAAGAAACAGAACTTGGGACCTGTTTTACATTTGATGAAATAAACAGTGATACAAAGAAGTATGGTGACTCTTTCGAAACTCTGACTCAGACCAATTTAGCAGCATTTTAACACCCTTAGGGTTATTTAAATTTATTTCTTTATTTGACAGGGACAGTGTACATTAATAAGCATTACTGCAAATGCACCAGAATTAGCCAAAAGGCTATTTTTCATCTGTTGTCCCTGGACAGATCTTAAAATTGTCTACCTAAAAACACAACAGTTAAGAAATTTACAATGAAAAATGCAAATATAACAAAGCAATAAAAACAGCTATAACTCTTTAAAACCTGTTTAAAAATTATAGAGGTTACTTCCAGATGTGGGGATAAAGTAGCTCCCAATTTACAGGCGATGTAACTTTCCCAGCTATCAAGCAAAGGAAGAAAAACATAAAAGAGAATGGGGCCTAAAACTGGGCCCAAAAACCCCATTAATTAAGTTACTAATTGATCTCTTCCTGGGAGTTTTTAAAAATGTATTTACAGATTAAGGCTTCTCAACCAATTAACACCAGGGGTCCTAGCAGAGCCCAGAACTACATTTGCAATATTTTCTGCATGTAAATAAATTAGCTTTCAATCTTATATAGTTGTTTCCAATCAAGTTGTTCCCCTACATACCAACTATTATTGCCATATAAGGTTTCTTATGGAGTTAATGTGGGCCCCAACCAAACTGAGCACTGTAACATGAATAAAATAGAGATATAAATCACTGACTGAACTTTTTTGCTTTATCAAGTATAATTTTTTTTCTCCCAATGTTGACTAAAATTTAAAAGATGATTTTAAAAAAATACTTGGGAAAGCAACCTAACCGAGCCAGATAAGTAAACCAAGGAGCATAAAACGTCAAAGACATGGCTCAGCCTGGTATGGCACAAAGTGGAAAGTCAGTTAACGTAGAAAATTTCCTGTAGGTGTTTATTTGGCTGGCTCACCAGCTGACCCATGTTGGCACCATATGGAGAAACAAGGCAATGGCCTTCCAGATATTTACCAAACGCTGCTGGACCAGAGCAGTCATCCATCTTAGAGTTGGTGACTAAAGTTTCTTACGTGCCCAAGAAAAACAATCCTGTGATCCTGTCATCCTCCTTGCATCATGACCAAGCAGTTGAGGGGGATGTTCACAATCCAAAAATAATAACGTACTTTAATGCTCACAAGGGTGGTGTGGACAGCATGATTCATCTTGCTGGCAGGGAAATGCCTTATGTTAGGTGAAGTTCTAGTTGAGGATTTCCTACAGGAATGCGTTCAAAAACCGACGGTCTCACATGATAAAGGGAGGTCTGCCATTGTTTCTCTGGGCTGACATGTGACAAAAAGCTGCTGCAAGGCCTCCTGCTTCAAAAAAGAGATAATATCTTTGGTTGGGTGGTTGAACCCCCACATGAAAAAGATCCCTCTACTCCAAGTGTTTCTTGTGATAATTCTGCTCAGGGTGTTCAAAATTCTGTCTAATAAGACAAAATTCTTCCTAAGAAATGATTTTGCAAAAAAAAAAAAAAAAACAGAATTAAAACAAATATGAAAAAATATTCTTTTGTTCATTGTCTTTAAATGTATTGTGGAGGATTTTTTAAAAGACCTGCCCTCTCCACTTTAAAAAAATGCACATGCAAGAGCGTGCACAAGCCCATTTCTCCTGGTGGGGACTATATAGTGGACTTTATAGCAAACTCAGTTAACTATCCGTTCGAATAGATGATCACTGCTTTTTGCTCTTTAGGTCAAGTAACTCCTCCACTGCGCTGTGCATGCGCCATCTTTATTAACAGTCGCCGCTGTCAGGTAGCAACAGCCTATGGCGACAGCGTGCCATTGTGACAGCAAATCCCATAATGCTTTGCGTGGAGAGCTCTCTGTGCAAAGCATTCTGGGATATATCTGCCTCTTCTGAGGCCTTTCTTTTGTTTCACTTCACACTTTTCCTCTTAGGACCCTCTGCCATTTTTCAAGAACCACGGTGAGAAAGGTGAGCTTCAATGTCTGAAACCGTAGCTCACCACAGATAAACGCACAAAGAGTGTATGCGCAGAAAAAGATAGCTAATGGGGCGAGCATGTAGTACGGCATTACATAAACATATCACCAGAAAGATTGACAATTAGAAGGACCACTTATATAGATGAACCACCCAGAAATAAAAGATCGTCCTCTACCTTTAAATAAAACCAACAAACTAATTCCAACTTTTTTTCTTTTTTTTATTATTATTTTGCTATTGACATACAGATAAAGAAAACAGGTTGAAGAGGAAACAGTTGAAAGATTGTTTATTTCTATGCTTTGATGTTTAAACTAAGAGATGCAAGAACTGATTTATTGGAGATTCAAACTTTATCTCATTAAGCGTGATTATATGGATATAGGCAAGCATGGGCCCTAAGGGGAAAATTGATTTTGGGGCCATCTTACTCTGCTAATAATACATAAAGCACACCAAGAAAATACTCATCTGGCATGGATGTTTTCAGGAAGAACAACAAAAGATTAAAATACTTTTAATGGATAAAAAAATAATAATTTTAACTTTACAAAACCTACATAATTAAATTAAAAAATAAAATCTCAAGCATTTTCTTAAATAATAAAAATACAAAAGCTACCAGGTAGAAAACGAAAGAATAAAAAAATAAAGGTTGAATAATAAGTTATTAAAACTGTATGTGCAAAATCTGTATTTGAAAATATGAACTACGTTTAACTACAATTTTGACAGTTTTAGGTTCCTTAATACTGCTATCAATCCATTAAACTTGCTTCCTGACTTTTCTGTTTGCAAGTCACTGATGACATCACTGCAAGAGATAGACAGCTTTGCACTTAACACTAATCACTGCCAGCCCACTTCATTGTTCTTAGATATTTTTTTTTTTTTTTAAGTACAGTTTGCAAAAGCTGCGCTCAAGCAACACTCAAGAGAAGAGTGTAGACCCTCCTCAGAGCTACTTAAAGATTAGGGTAGAACTTATATCTCATTCAGTGTAAATGAGGTCAGCTGTGCTTTAGGATTTCTAGAAGGTTTTCCATATCTGAAGCCAGTGCACTCTCATCACTATCAGACTGTTCACCAAACAGTTTGTGTTTGTCCCCAAGGCAAATAAGTTGGGGTTTTTTTGCAGGTAAAAGAAAGGATTTTTACATAATTAAAGTTATATCAATATAAAAAAAACCTTAATATTTATCATCGTTATTATTTCTATAGGGAAATTATCCAAAAAAACAACAACAAACAGCTAATTGTTCTCGAGGGCACACTTTATTTCCCTGGGACCCTAAGAGCATGGGAGGTTCTCTACTGAAACATAACAGTAAATCAGTTTTATATGATGAGATCTGCATTGGTAGAGAAACTTTAACTGATTGCTCTTTGACTGATGTAACTTCTTTTAATTTACAGGTTTACATAAACAATTATTTAAACATGGAGGTGTTGCACCATTAGCTTCAGATGTGTTAAGATAGATTCACAATCTTTATCTGACAGATCAGGGTCTTGGCCGTGAGTGGCCTTTTGACTCGTTTATATATATTCATAAATTAAATAGTGAATTATCATCATGCTTTTTGTTTTATTCTTTTGCTCTGTGCCCCAAGAAAAAAAAAAATGGTCCTAATTTCGCCTCGCCGGTAAAAATTGGTCTAGAAGCACCACTTTCTGATCGGTTGCTTGGTTTGCTCATGCTGTGAGCTGAATAAACAATGCATCATGTAAGTGTCTATCCAAATCCAGAGGGTTTTTTTTCTTTCCTTTCAAGAAAAAAAGGTTTAGCTGTTTGTAAATATTCCCATATCATTATTAAGCCAATAATCACAGTGTGGAAACTAAGGGAGGCCAAACAGTTCTCTTATTAAGGTGCAGAGATGTATCAAAAATAGAGTATATCTGTTAATCCATCACACAGGTAATGCTCTTGCTTTTCCTGAATTCTGGAGTTTTGTTTCTCTACTGGTTGATTGATTGATGATTGATTGATTTTATAATCTCACAGAGGAGAAATGCACTAATGTTATCTCACTTAGTTGAATCTATAGAATGTCTGCATGACTATAAGATGACTTTAACTTAAAAGTTACAGACCTGTAAGTCTAGCAGGTATGGGAGATGGATGCAAATACTTCCAGTGTACAAAACAAACACATGAGTTCAAGTGTTAGAATACCTGTATGAGGGAGATGGCAGCAGCCCGTAGGCGGTTAGAGGAGTCTCCCGTCCTCGCAAGCAGGTTAGGAAAAGTCTGCTCCAAGCAGTGGCTCACCTCGGCCCGCCCTAAGCCCACACCTGGGATCAGCTGGCTCAGTATTAAGCGGAGGAGCTTTAGTGAGGCATGAAAAACCTGAGAAAGGAACCAGAGAACTTAAAGTTTAAAAAAATTGTGTGTTATGTTTAATAACAATGAAGTAACATGAAGAATGATTAAATGTATAAAAGAGAGAAAACAGGAGAAAAGTAAAAATGAGAAAAAACAAACAAAACAGAATGATTAAACGAAACAGTGTTGGGAACAGTTGTTTATGACTAATGTGAATAAAGAAAAAATTCAATTCAATTCCAAAAGGCGTTTGCTGGATCGATGTCCAGAGGGAAAATCAGTGCAATTATAACAACACCGCCTTCTTCGTCACCACTGAGGTTTGTAAGCAGTTTCCAAGTACTGGTCAAATTTGTTGCATTAATAAAGCAGCCTCTGTGACAGCTTTTGCATGCAGTACAAACAGAAAATGGGAGCGTGAGAGCCTGCGTACAGTCTACTCAAACAAACATTCTCTTTGACGCAGAAAATTATTGAACATGACATCTAATGCAAAGGATCCAGACAGTGACTAACCCTAGGTTCTGTGTTAATAGGACAGAATAATTCAGTATCCAAATAAAAGAAGCAGCTCTGCTTAGAGCGTGGGCTCTGCACAGATAAACTGATGCTGCATTTCTGATGTTAACCTAAAAGAAACTCCCCATAAAACTCTTCCTCTGCCATCATTTCTACTATATACTGAAAATCTCTTTTTTTACAGTAAAGCTCCCCATCTGGTTAGAAAGAAACCAGCAGTGATTATGGCACAAAGGTAACGCTATTTCACAAACAGCTTCCCAGCTGCTTTTAGAGACTGACAGAGGGCTGAAAAATAACATGTGTAACACATACATAAACACAATGAACAGAAGTTTAACTATTCACATCGTTCAAAGTGATCAAATACACAAATGTGAGTGAGTTAGAGACTGCAGCAATTAAATCCGCAGTTAAGCATGTGATGAAGAAAGCAGCTCACAACAGCAGAAGCTGACTGGATAATATGTAAAAATGCTGACAGAGGAGCATAAAACAAGCTCTCTGTTTGTCAAGTTTGCATGAAACCTGTAACATTTCCCACGCTGGATCAAATTAGATCCTGATGATGATCTGCCAAATTCTTTACGTTTTAGTCTTTCAAGAACAGCGCAAAAAGATGTATAGTAAAAAAGCTCAGAGCATTTAGGCGAAATTATATGTTTATGTTTAAGCATATTAGCATCAAGCATCAAACTTCTAAGGTAAAGAACAACAGCTGTCCACTATTGAAACATAGACACTAGATTATGATGTTAAATTGACAAGGGAAATCAAAACTGCAGTAGTACGGAAAAAGAAAAAAACATTTTGTGAGTTATTTCATGATCTCTTTACATTTGCAGATGGTCACTATATTATAATCCTATTCTGTCTAATATTGTCCCCTCTACTATAACATGGAGGGTTTGGAAAACTGGATGCTGCCCAACAGGTAAACCAGCAGCTGGTTGACGAGCACAGCAGACACAGCGTCTCTCATCCTTTGCTGTAGAGAGTTAGGATAGGAGAGAAGACAGCTGGCAGACGGTGGAGGTGGTGTCCCTCCTCAGTCTCCCTGGGATTCCTGTTTTCACTTAGTGTGCACAACAGACACACCTTCAGACCGGCTTCAGCGCAACCTTGCCACCTGTTGTGGCTCCTGCTTAGGACTAGAAAAGTTAATAAGCTAACATGCCTAATTTTAATACAGATAAATGTTTTAATCTGATGCTTTTTAATATATAAAATGGTAATCTGGCTTTTTGTTTAACAACAAAGTAGAGTGGAATTTTTTATTTGTAGCTTTTCTTTAAGAGATAATGTTTTGTATTAAAATTCCTTAAAATAAACATTTCATAGTTAGAAATAAAAATACAACAGATTAATATAAGCAAGGAATAATCGTATCAGAAATAAAAATAGCCAAACTTTAAATATCATAGAGATGCTTTTTATACCAAAGGATTTTGACTTACAGATGAAACTTTATCCAGAAGGGACTCCTTAACCAGAAATACGGCCGCTCTTATCATGTTTCTCAGCTCGTCTTTGGGGGCTGTGGAGGCTGCTTCCAACAGTTTGCTGTGCACGGCGAGCAGCGCGTCTTCTCTGTAGCACCAGCTTTTAGAATATGCTCCAGCAACCTGAAAAAAGCAAGAAAAAGATACATTGGTATACCGGCGATAAATAGTACCCTTATATTTCAACCCAAATTGAATTATTTGAAGAGAAGATCTAAGTATTACAGCTAACGGGTAAAGAGCTTACCCCAAAAAGACCAAAGTCACCAATGTTGTGACACTTTTACATTAATTCACCTTTTAATAATGTCTGTTATATAACACTGCTTACACTGCAACTCAAATATAATTTCTTCAATTCTATATTTATCAAAGGCGGATCATTAAATAATCAAAGTTTAGGACCACAATAGAGTGGTTTAATGAAAAGCAGATTGCTTTGGCATTAAAGCCCAGTTAAAGTAAGGACCTATATCAAACTAGGAATTTTTAAAACTGAAATTTTTTTAAAGATTTGCACCGCTAGGTAAGATATACAAAACAAACAAAAAACAAAAAACGTGCGTATGAACCTTCTTGTAAACAATGTTAATTTCCCTTTTACTTCAGACTCAGGCAAAACTCTGTGTTAGTATTTTTTATAAAATGACAAAAGACTAGAATATAATTAAACTCTATTGTTATTACACTGTCACAAGTACTAAGCAACCAAATAACCTCTCGGCATTTAATCCATCCCCTGGGGAGCAGTGGGCTGCCATTGTGTGGTGACTGGGGAGCAGTGTGGGGTTAGAGCAAGCATCCCTAAACTCGGTCCTCGAGGGCCGCTGTCCTGAAGGTTTTAGAGGTTTCCTTGCTACAGCACAGCTGATTTTAATTGACAGCTGATTAATTGGCTTCTGCTCTACTGCAATCATGATAATCAGCTGTGCTAAAGCAGGGAAACCTCTAAAACATGCAGGACAACGGCCCTTGAGGACCGAGTTTGGGGATGCCTGGGTTTAAGGGTTAATCATACTCCAGCAGCAGTGTGTTGCAGTGAGCTTATCGCAGATGTTTTTGATTTATGCCCAATATTGACGCATGGTCTGCGCTGTTATTCCACGCTACAACGCAAGAGGGACAATCACGAACTAGCTGAGGGTCTAGATACAAGTTTGTGTGACAATGGAGGTACATGAGGTTGAAAAAGAGCGCGGATCCAGGAGGAAAAAGGGTCCCAGCGTTCTAATGCACCTCTTCTAGCTGATCCATCTTCACGAGTCGTTTTCCACAATGGCGGTCACACAAACAAAACAAGCTGGTGAGGAACCAAACAGGAAATATGCATAGTGTAGAGCGGATGTGGATTTGACCAATCAGGGGCCCCGTCTGCGGCACTGTCTGCAGTCACCTACAATTCTGGAGAGGTGCAGCAGAGTGTCTGTGGAAGGGGCGGGGGCACATTTCTGTTCACCGTAACACACGCAGACAACGTGGTTTCTGAGTATAAATCAGCCTGAGAGTTCTTCTCAGGGAGCCGGAGTGGCAGTCTGTGCGAGTGGGGCTTGTACTCAAATGTCAGGGACCCAATCGCATTGCCCTAACCACGAGGCCACCACTCCACGCAATACTTTATTTTAAGGATTTTAGTTGCAAAGTGATAAAAGTTAAAAAGGCACAAGGAATGTAAATATGTGTGAATGAATAGATAGTATTTCTCATATTTGAAAAGTACAGAAGTCCCTGATATTCAAATAACATTAGGATGGTTTAGCAGCCCGTGGCTAACCTGACTTGTTCTTACCAGACTTTCTCCGAAGGCCTCTATAGGAAGGCCAGCCTCTCTCAGGACCTTCTCTGTAAGGGGTTCTGGCTCTCCACTAAAGTTGGGACCATGTGGAGAACTTTGCACATCAGATTTAGGAGAGTTCTCCCCTGATGGGGTCTGGGTGGTTTCCACCGGTCGATCTCTCCGCTGAAGGGCTGGTAGGGGCCTCTCATCATAAGGCACGGTGGTAATCTGTCCGCAGAATGTCAGAACATCATTATTATTAATTAGTTCTTTAGGTTTCTTTTAATTCATCAATATTCTCTTGATGCGTTAGATGAGATGTAACCAACTTTACGTGGCATTTAAACACCAGAGAGATTCTGTATCACCCAGCATCACTGTAACAATGTCTTCTTTCCATCCTCGATACAAACCACAATTCTACCCAGAAAGTTCTGCGTTTTGTGCCTCTGAGCCAACTGGCACCCCGCTGCTTAACACAAGCCTCAAAGCACTGCCTTGAGGCCAGGTTGGCAGCCGCCAGAGTCAGCCAACTGTTGCACACTTTTAATTAAATAGTGAAACCCAAACCTCAGCAGGTCTGGGCTTAATAGGTGGCGAGCACAGCGCACAGGCTCCTGATGGTCATAATCTCCCTGTGTGCTCTGGGTTCAAGCACTGCTCGGGTTTAGTCGGGAGACATGTTCCAAGGGTGCTTCCCAGCTTTACAGGAATGTGTGTAACCAGGAAAAAAGTACTGCTGGTTTACTCTAAAGAAAATGCAGATCCTCTAGGGAGCGTTTTCAGAGGAAGCTTGTTAGAAGCAGGGTATTAAAATGGCAATCAATGCCTTCGATGAGGAAGATGGCTTACATTAACGTTAGGTACGGTGGCAGGGGTTAGAGTGGTGTCAGGCTGGCTGCTAGATTTAGACACTACATTCTGTGAGGCTGACTGTTGGTCGTGATGACTGCTTGTCTTCTTCCCTTTCTTAAAGTTATCTGTGGATAACGAGGGCTTGGTGGCTGAAGCATCAGTAGGAGAAGGCAGAAGTGGACCCTGCGCTGAGGAAAAATCTGTTCCTCCGGTGATCTAATGACGACAGAGAAAGAATAAAAAGCTACTGTATGTTTACATCACAGTCTACTGGTTCCTACTGGTAAGGTGTAAAAATTTTATTCAATTTAAAAAGACTATATAAATCCCAAAAGGGAAATTGGACAAGAATAAGTGCTTAGCACTGACCATTGACACGTCCAGCAGGTTGTGAACTTCCAGCTGTTGGTAGACGCTCTTCCTGTACTCATCCATCAGCTCCTTCTTCTTCTTGGCCAGGTCATAATCCTCTTTTTCAATTGCGCATTTCTTCTCCACATCATAACGAGCCAAACGCTCTCCAACCTGAGAGAGACCAAATTAAAAAGCAAGATCTGACCCTATTTTCAGAATCTTTGTAAAATCTATAAAGAGAGACGTTGTTTTTAGCTACTTAAGGCTGACAATGAACATTTTGAAAAATGTAACATTTATAATAATCCGTCATGCTTTTTTTTACAGTTTAAAATCACTTTAATGAGGCAACCGAAAAAAAATAACAGACTGACAGGAGCACAAAGTGGCACTGATGGCCCTCCCCAACCTGTTTCTGAGAAGGAAAACTCCTTCATTTTCTCTTGTTTATAAGAAACATGAACTAGACTGTTTAGAAATAGTAACAGCTAGAACAAAACATTAACATAATGGTGATAAAACTAAAACAGCGCCACCTATCACTCTTTATAAGGGAATGCTGATTTGAAGCTCCAGTCCTCATAAGAGCAGTTTGGCCGTTTAGCATCCAGTTGCAGCTTGGCTACCTTAGCAGATGACTAAATGATCAGCTGATATCAGCTTGCCATCCTCTTGTTATTCTATAAAGAGTAGATCAACTAAAATAAACTCTGCTTTGAATTAATGATGAAAGTTATTAAGGATGTGGCTGAAGTCTATGAAATTGTTTTAAAGGCCACTTATAAAACCATAAAAATCTTTCAGCAGCAATAATAGCGGCCATTTCTCTTCAGTGGTAGATAAAAATGATGATGTCCAATGCATTTTTCAATTAATTATACAGTAATTTCCTTCAAAAATGTAACTCTCTATTGTTCCTGCTTACTCTTAACTTCTCAGAAATTGAAACAAGAAGTTGCAGCCTGCAATGCTCTCGTCTCTTACACTATGACATGTATCATACAGTATACTTTGCTCTAATCATTTGGGAACAGTTTAAATTTGTGCACTGAGTAATTCTCTACAGTATTTAATGTTTAAATAAATAGCTGTAAATCATTAGAATTGCCCAATTTTTAAGTTTTCTGATCTCCTGCAAGCGTGTCATGCATTTTATTCATGAGCCTTTATGAATATTTATTGAGGTGATGAACACAGTTACCATGTATTGTACTTATAATAGATTTTCATGTTAAGTTTATCCGGTTTCAGACCAGATCAGATGACACTGCAAAATTGGTTCTAAAATAAAAACCATGAGCGAGACGGATAAAAACCCTGAGTCTTACAGGTTGGAAACTTACTGCAGCTCTCAATATGTTGGACATGACCTTTCTGAGCAGGGAAGTTCCTTTAAGATGGATAGAGTTACTAACGGTACTAGCCAATATAGTCTTCATGTGTAAGACACTTATAAACTCTGATTGTTCTATTATTTTTGAGGAAAATATATAACAGAGGACAGAGAGGGCCAGTTTTCAGTGTTTTGGTTACTACATATCTGATGGATGCCTCCAGCATCATCAGGGTGTGAAGTAAGGGGATTTTCAGCATGACTAACTTGTGTCCACAATGCTAACGTGCCATGCTAACAAGCTACAAGCATTTGTGACACTGCTTGTTATCTGGTTACAGAGTGGCTTTCAGCAGAGGAAAGACAGTGAGGTACCCTGAGAGCAGCTGCTGAGCTTGTTAAGAATTGATGGTCTGCATGGTAACACCAGACACAACGGAGGTCTGTGCCAGGAATCTGAACAATGTTTAACAGCTTTTGTACAAACAGTGACAATACTGCACAGGATATGTGTAAAAAAAGAAAACATATGAGTTTTCAGAGGACAAAACATGATGAGTTTTAAAAGGTCATCTGGATTTTTATGATTTATTTATTACTCCAAACTAGGTTGTTATCTTTTTCCATTTTCCTTATTGTGATACAATTTTAGTGTTCCAATACTCGAACTTCCACCGTCTTGTCCCCAAATTGCACGTTAATGGGTATTAATGCGAAGAGTGTCCCAATTCTCTAGCGCTGCCTTTAGCCCCGCTACCTTTGTGGCCTTGACTGACACCACAGCTAAGCGCCTATCTGAGCGCCTATCGGAGCGAATACTTAGGGATCGTGTTTTAAACTTTTACCATACTTTAAATGTGTAAACACAAAACTATTACTTAATGCAGCTGTAAAAGCACAATTTAAACAGTGACAGGTCTTGTCATTTTTCTGGCACTGTTCCAGTTGTATAATTTTGCATGTTTTTAATCTGCACTCCTGCACCCGTACTGTACATACATTTTATAGAGTACACACTTAATAAAGGGGTGTGCTGTGGGTATTTAGGACAAGGTCAGCAAACCTGTTAGCGATCCAGGAAATAAAGCAGCACAAAGGATTACACGAAGGGAAAACGCAGATATTTCCCTGCGGTTGGGCCTCTCGTTTACACCAAAATCCCGTTTTTAATCACAGAAAACGATTATTTCTAAAAAAAAAACTGGCCAAAGTGGAGATTTCTGATACGTTCTGGTTACGTGCTGCCGTGTCAATAGGGATAAACAGCTTTTTAGCTTCTTAAACTTCACATTATGCGCCAGAAAATCCTTAAAGGAAAACGCCGTTTTGGATGACGTCATCCAAACGCCGCAGATATAACCGCAGATGTCTGGGGGACAGTGATTCACCTACATGTTATGAATGCTGGCGTACCATAAAGAATACATTATGAACAGTTTAGTTTGTGCCTTCAAGTCGTTGCCCATAGGAAGATGTTACTTGGATATCACCTAACCGAATATCTTCAGAACAGCTCCAAATGACACACAACTCATGGGTGAGTAGAACATGATGTAATAACGTGAAATCAAGATCCCAACGTAAAGAAAAAATGGTGTTTCCCTTTAACGTCCAGTGACATCATATACAGTTTCTGGCATAGTTATTATGGCGCTCGACAGCGTATTTATCCGGGTTGATGTAAATGTTACATTTTATGAAAACCATGTTGTGTGCATGATATTATTGAAAACACATTTACAATATGTGTAAATGTGGCCTAAGTGGCAAAAAATGTGTGCTTCTCTTGTTATATAAAAAAGTCCTCTAACTGTAAGGAGCACAGGTTAACGTTTCGCTGCTTCTCCTCATCCTGTTGCTGTGCACTGTCTAACAGCTGGATTGAAAATAGTTACTACAAATTTCTATCACTACACTTGATATTTAATTTGCTTTATTGCATCTATAAGAACCGAAACAGCAGTGGCTTAAAGTCCTAATTAACCATTCAATAATCCCTATAATATTCTACTTTAGCAGCAGTGAGAATAATTGTTGATTAATGATATGAATTTAGTTGTAATATGACATGTACTGCCTTGATATTTTTACTTTAGATTTTTATATAATCTTCTAGTTACCTCTGCCTACAATGCTGCATTAAAAATCCTCCTCTCCATCAATGGAAAGAAAACATAAAATGTTTTTTAGCCTTTTGGGATCTACCTTCTGAAGGTCTGCGATCGCTTGCTTCAACTTCTTAGCCTCCTCAAAGTTCTCCTGCCGTACAACGTCTTGCTTCTTCTGGTCTAAGAGGCGAATGATGTGAGCGACCTCTGGGTCCTGGTACATGTCGAAGGCCAAGTCATCAAATTGGGAGATAGATGTACATTTTCTGAATGAAAGAACAAGGGAAGACAGTCAATTCAAGCCAGATTTCAGTTTACATTTGTTTTTATGATTGATCAATCTCCTCCTAGTTCTTTGGTTAAAAAAAAAATAAATTACCGGTATGATTAGTACGGTAGTAGAATGAAGTAAAATGCTAATGACTCCCTCCTCACCCTTTTCTCTTGAATCATTTGAAAGGGTTAAGACCTTAAAATGTAACTTACATCTAAGAATACAACAATGCATTTTTTGTTTTTTTTCTTGCAAAGGAAACCACCTGCATTGTCCTCAAACATATGTGACCCTGGATGTCTTAGAGATTTTCTTCTAGACCAAATGGCTTTGCTGAACTGTTATTGTAAAACAAAGACAGTAGGGTTCAATGGCCTCACCCCATGAAAGTCGTGTCCAAGGCAGCTTCCTGCTGGGTATTGTTGAGGTACTGTTCAATCAGCTGGTCTTTGCTTGGCTGGGGGTAAACAGATGGACAAAATATGGTTTTACTGCACGGATCTGCAAAGAATACAAGAGAGGGCTTATACACATCCTTAATCCAACAAAGGCTCGAACTGAAGAAAATCCAAATCTAAAAAAGATGCACACCGCACAGAAAGACAGAGCTTACATCGCTCCTACTCTACCAGCTTTTAATCATTCTGTCCACCACGAATTGAAGCATATTTTAGTAGATTTTAAACGACAAGGGCCCGATGCCCCTAAATGAATTTCAGTACAATAAATAGCCAGCAGAACATAACCAAAACATAGGGCCTGACCTTCAGAATGTTTGAGCTTAAAACACGTACAAACTTTTTTGTTTTTGTATCCTCATCAATAAGCAGAGAGTATTTTACTGACCTAACTGCACAAATTCATGGGTAGAGGATATGAAAGTGTAACGTAAAATCTTAAATTTTTCTTTACTTAAACCTGGAACTCAACTGTGTCTGCACTTTTTGGGTCTTTTTTTGGCAGGTTTAAAAGTCAGCTGCAAAGTCCTGCGTAGAATCCATCAGTCATTCAGCAGACAAAGACAACTTTTTCACATTTTATTATAGCATAATCTTTGCTATTTAACTTTAATGTTTTTTATTATTTTACATGCTAATTTTGTTCCTAGCACTTTGAGATGGGCTACAAGTCTACACTAAATTACGTTAAGTTTGGTCATTATTATTTTTTAAATAATTATTATCAATACCTCCAACTACATGTCTTAGAACCTTATCTTTCTTTTACAGCTTCTCACAAAACCATCAGTATAGCAAGTAATCACTTCATCTTAATAGAGCAGAACCATACTGGTTTGTGCATCTTAACGGTTGTGCAAACGATCTTTCTAGATTTCATGCAACATGCCAACTTATTGCCCCTTCACTAAAAAAACTTCCCATGAAAGTTGGCACTCTTCTTTTTTGTTTCTTTAAGTCGGGCATACAATGTACAATTTTTGCAATCTGTACGATTTTTGCAATAGTTACACACAGCTACAGCTCAAACTGTACGATGAGACCGCAGGGTTTTAAAAGTTCACAGATCACGATGCATCTTCTCACACTGTGGGTGATCACGCCTCCTTACCACCTACACACTACATGACACACGATCAGGCTGAAAGTTGGGCTGATCGAGATTATCGCACGATTGGAGAATCGGCCCAAAAAGGGCAAAAAAAATCCTACAGTGAATGCCCCGCTTTAAAGGTCAAGTCCATCTGTGTGTAAATTAGTGGATATGATTAATTCAATGTTAAGTAATCAATAACATTAACTCTATAATCTAACAGGGCACGGCCATCTACAGTACCTACAGCTGAACTGTCTTAGTGAAGAGATGATTATTTAGAACATTAATGATTAAGAAGCCACATATATCACAGTAATGCTTTCAGCGAATCTACTTTTTATTGGGAGAGTGGCATGAAGATAGCATTGAGAAGAGTAAAGTAAAGCAGTGGAAAAAGCTGCTCCCAGAGATGGTTGAAGTCATATTTGTCAAACACACTAAGTTAGGCCAAATTCGCCCTGCAGTGTAATGATATTTGGCCTAAAAAAATATTTCCAAGTATCTGTTAGTGCTGGCTCACCAGCCGACAGTGCCAAAACAGCTAACGTTATAAGTCCCAGATGCTCTCTTGGTGCGTTGGCATGTCAGTCAGCACCAACAAACCCTCCTTCTTCTTAGAAAGAACAATTTTAAGTCTTTAGAGGTGCGAATCTATTAAATTCACACACTGATGACTTAAACCTGCAACTTCAGTGAAAACATTTATGCAAAGTACTGAAGTATTGGCATGAATAGACGCATAGATTCCAAGTCAACCGTTGCTCAACCCAGCAAGGTTTCACCAGTCTGCTGACAGTCCTTCTGCTGCTTCGAATGCTAATTATCACACAAACCAAAAGAAAGTGTTAGCTGAATGGTTTGAGGAACCTTGACACAAAAGCTGCTTGCATCTCCAGAAACAGAAATCTTGTAAAGCAGCACTTCCTGCTGGCTAGAAGAAATGGCTGAGACAGGAACTTTCCATTTCTCAAGTTAACACATTTGATAAAATCAAGTTTATTATTAAATACCAGGTCTGAGCAAAGCTAGTCAAAGCCGACACTCGCCCACAAGTTTTTACAGGTTGCTGTTTTGCATTTGATCCAGCGTTAAAGAGGTTTTTATCTTTTTGCATGAAAGAGCTTAACACCATTAACAGGCGGGGGAAAAAAAACATTCATTTGTAATGCAAACAAAAGTTTCAATCACATTTAGCTTGAGGTAATTCCGTTTTTTTATACTACCTGTGATTTTTATGGTGATAAAAAGCCAACAGAAAAACAGAGTGGAGCAAGTTTATGACGCTGAAATCCATCCGCTGATTCTGCATGACTTTAAGCTGTACTAATAAATGAAGCTCTCTGTACTTTGAGACAAGGTGGCGATGAGATGTTTCTCATTAAATGAATTGGTTTAACAGAGAACTAAGTAAACCTTGTTAGAAATATTTACACCACCATTTCCATTTCCAGAATAAACATAAAGCAGATCCAGGAGGCCAAACTCTAGCAAGCAATCCAGGCAAGAACATTGCTGTGATGCAGGAGCTCAGTGGGATTAAAGGAGCAACAATGCATGGCTTGTTCACTGGGATCTGTGCGAGGGGACTACATGCTTTCCATGCCATTCTGTGTGTTGATGTGCGTACATGTGGGTGTGTGTTTTAAGGTAGCCTCGTTCCTCCACGAGCCGTCCATCTGCAGGACTATCTGATTACACCCACCAACTGAAGGCTCCCTGTTTGATTACATGCTGCCCTCTCTTTGTTTCTCATTACGACACAGACGACACATATCACTATTCAGGTAAACACCTGTATAAATAAATATGGACGTTTGGTCTGAGCCTTGACTAAAGATGAACCTGTAAGAGATATTAAATACTTACAAATTGAGCCAAAAACTTTAAATTATCAATTTAATTTGAAATATTTTGTGGAAACTTAAATTTTGTAAACCTCTTTTCTGTATCATCACTCTAATTTTAACAAAAACTGTCCTAAAAAAAAAATCTGGCCATTGAAAAAACTGTCATAAAAAGTGGTGAAAAGAAAGCCGTTGTTGAAAGAAATCTTTAATAGTTTTATTTGTGGTTTGCAACAAGCGATGTCAAAAACAGCCAATAAAAATACATTATATGCATCAGGTACACCAGTTCTTATGACAGAAATCAGCCAAAATTTTAAAAAGCTATTACAAATTGAGCCAAAAACTTTAAATTATCAATTTAATTTGAAATATTTTGTGGAAGCTTAAATTTTGTAAACCTCTTTTCTGTATCATCACTCTAAATTTGAACAAAAACTGTCCTAAAATTAAAGGTAAAAACGTCAAAATAACCGAAAATGATGTGGAATGCAATACATACAGTATGGTGGAAACATTTCAAAACCTCCTACATTTTATCTAGTAAACCCGCCGCAATATGTAAAAATAATACACAAAAAAAGAAAAAATGTTAATACCATCTGAGGAGTACCTGATGCTAGTCCAATATTGGTTCCATACCTCCCCCTTCTGCTGTGCAAATGTAAATTCAGCAGAGAGAAGCAAGCAGACTGTTCACTTACCACTGAGTGAAACGTACCACCGTCCAAAGAATCCGCCAGAACATTAACGGCAACCAGGGCAACCTAGAAAATAAACACGGCTCAACTGTAAAGTCCTGGAAAAATGACAGGAAATTATGTTTTTATCACAGTAAAACAGAGTTCTTCTACTTTTATTGTTATAGGTTTTAAGATTTCTGCTCTCATCCATTACAGATAACATGTTAATATGATAACATGTGAGGTAGGCTAAAAGATTTCCAAAAGAACCATATTTTGCTCCAATATAAATAAATTCAAGGAGAGATGAGAAACAAAATCAGTCTGGATTACAAGGTCATTTCTAAATCACCTCCACAGTGTGAGTAAATATCCACTATAGTAGAATAGAGGATTGGTCCAACCTAGGGCTGAAACAACTAACCAGATTAATCGTAATTAATCGATTATTGAATCTTTAACTAATTTGGTAATAGATTATTCCTTACCCGGAGTATAGAGACTCTAAAACATGTCTTTAACTAACAGAGCAGTCATTTAGAGCAGTAATAATATAGAAATTGTAAAAAAAAAAATATAGAAACATTTTGCATTTTAGAAAAAGAAAACTTTTTCATCTGTCGCTATGCTCTATCTATAACTCCTAAAGTCAAAAGGTTTTATTTCCACCTGGTTTAATTTTGTAAAAAATCTTCTTAAAGGAACCTTTGGCTGTCCCATTTCTTAATCGATTAAATGAAAAAATAATCATCAGATTAATCGATTAGCAAAATAATCGTTAGATGCAGCCTTGGCCCACCGACAAAGATCACTTAAACAACTCCCAGATCGACATCTAAAGCACTGCAGGCCTCAGTTACATCATTGTCGTTGACAAGAAGATATTAACAATATTTATTTTAAACTAAAAATGAACTACAAATGTCTATCAGTTAGATAGTCTACAGTGAAAACCAAACAGCAACCACTCTATGTTGCTCCTGCTGTTGATCTGTGAGCTCCGCTCTAACAAAGTACCTGATTGTAGTGATTGTAACGGTTGGCATGGTTCCTGTGGAGGGTAATTCTCAGATACAATCCAACGGCATCAACGTGGACCGACTTCAGCTCCCGGGCTTTGAAACCGGTCTTCTCGTTATCCGATAGAGACACATATCTGTGGGGAGAGTGTGACTTAATAACAATAATAACTCCCTGCTCGATACATGGTTTCTACAGCTCCTTGGTGGTAACACTGGGGGAGCTTTAAAGATCTGCAGCTCAGGTGGAAGAGCTAGTTACGACTAAAAAACAAATCTGGCCATTGAAAAAACTGCCATAAAAAGTGTTGAAAAGAAAGCTGTTGTTGAAAGAAATCTGTAGTAGTTTTATTTGCGGTTTGCAACAAGCGATGTTGTCAAAAACAGCCAACAAAAATACATTATATGCATCAGCTACACCAGTTCTGACGACAAAAATCAGCCAAAATTTTAAAAAGCTATTAACCGAAGCTTGGCCTGAGTGATATAGTTTAGGAAGTAAAGCTGGGTGATGTGGCCTTATAACCTTACGATATTTTATGCTATAATTGTGATAATAAAAGGGATTATTTAAAACACTTCTTATTTAACTGTATAGCTGTGAAAGCAGGCCACAGCAATTATAGCCCCACAATCAAAAACAACATTCTTGAAAAAATATGCAAAGTTAAAAGAGGTTATTTAGGGACACCAGTCACATAAAGAAGTGTGATTTATATTAGGTGTGTCTACACAAAACTTTTCATTTCCAATACGATACGGATATAGCAGCTTTGAGTATTGGCTGATGTATTGAACCGATACGATATAGCACAAATCAGACCATTTTAATTACTTATTTTATACTGTAGAATTATAGAAAAGGCTTGATCAAGTATTATCACTGAAACAGGGAAAAAAACGGAATGAAAAAGGTATGAAAACAACTAATCGATGTAAAATGAACCAATAGTTACGGAAACTTTTAATAGCAGCAGGGTGTTTCTATCAGCATGAAAATTTACTACTCAAAACAATTAAAGGAACACTTTGTAATCAAAGTATAGCATCAAGTTAATTAAACTTCAGGGATAATGATTTGGTCAGGTAAGTAGCAGAGGTTGTTAATCAGTTTTAGCTGCTTTGGTGTTGATGAAATTAACAACAGGTGCACTAGAGGGGCAACAACGAGACAACCATCAAAACAGGAATGGTTTTACAGTGGTAGGTTCACTGATATTTTTTCCCCTCCTCATCTTTTCTGACTATTTTTACCAGTTTTGCATTTGGCTAGGGTCACTGTCTCTACTGTCAGCATGAGGCGCTACCTGGACCCTACAGAGGTTGCACAGGCAATCCAACTCCTCCAAGATGGCACATCAATACATGCCATTGCAAGAAGGTTTGCTGTGTCTCCCAGCACAATCTCAAGAGCATGGAGGAGATTCCAGGAGACAGGCAGTTACTCCAGGAGAGCTGGACAGGGCCGTAGAAGGTCTACAACCCATCAGCAGGACCGCTATCTGCTCTTTTGTGCAAAGAGGAGCAGGAGGAGCACTGCCAGAGCCCTTCATAATGACCTCCAGCAGGCCACTGGTGTGAATATCTCTGACCAAACAATCAGAAACAGACTTCACGAGGGTGGCCTGAGGGTCCGACGTCCTCTAGTGGGCCCTGTGCTCACTGCCCGGCACCATGGAGCTCGATTGCCACAGAACACCGGAATTGGCAAGTCCGCCACTGGCGCCCTGTGCTTTTCACAGATGAGAGCGGGTTCACCCTGAGCACATGTGACAGATGTGAAAGGGTCTGCAGAAGCCGTGGAGAACATTATGCTGCCTGTAACATCGTTCAGCATGACCGGTTTGTTGGTTGGTCAGTGATGGTCTTGGGAGGCATATCCAGGGACACACAGACCTATACAGGCTAGACCACCGCACCCTGACTGCCATTAGGTTTCGGGATGAAATCCTTGCACCCATTGTCAGACCCTATGCTGGTGCAGTGGGGTCTTGGGGTCCTCCTGGTGCGCAACAATGCCCGGCCTCATGTGGTGAGAGTATGCAGACAGTTCTAGGAGGATGAAGGAATTGATACCACTGATTGGCCCCCACGCTCGCCTGACCTAAATCCAATAGAACACCTCTGGGACATTATGTTTCCATCCATGCCAGCTTGCACCTCAGACTGTCCAGGAGCTCAGTGATGCCCTGGTTCAGATCTGTGAGGAGATATCCCAGGACGCCATCCGTTGTCTCATTAGGCGCATGTCCCGACGTTGTCAGGCATGTATACACGCACGTGGGGGCCAGACAAATTACTGAATACCATTATGAGTTGCTGCAATGAAATTTCAGCAAATTAGACTAGCCTGCCGCATCATTTTTTGTATCTGTGTTTTTTGGGCTGTATTTGAATTCAGCTCTCTGCAGGTTGATCATTTTCATTTCCATCAAATGATATGGTATCCTTTTGTTCCTAACACTTCACCCAGTCCATATCAGTATGATTTGAATCCCCATTGAGATCTGATGTGTTTATAAAGTATTCCTTTAATTTTTTTGAGCATTGTATCAGAAGTTGCACTGTTTGAGCTCAAGCCAATGTCTCCTTAAAGCTGCAGGATTCTTACAAAAAAAAACTTTTAATATATGTATTAAAATTTTTTCTGTGTCCTAAAATTATGCAGATAAATTTTGGAAAAAAAGAATCAAGCTCCTCTGCTTCTTCATCTTACAAATAAAGATCAGAGCCATGCTCTAAGGCAGATTTGGTTTTGTAATTTACAATTATTTATCTTTAGATTGTTTTTTTGGTTCTAGTGGCCTTTATTTTTGTTTTTTCGAAAGTAGGCAGACAGGAAATGGGATGAGAGAGAAGAGGGAAACATGCGGCAAAGGTCAATTGGCCGGGATTTGAACCCCTGTGACGGTCGCATTGAGGAGCAAAGCCTCTGAATATCGGCCTTACATCAACCCCTGCATCATCTTCATTTTACTTTGAATGTTTCTTTTTATTTGACATTATTTGATATCGAAGTTTTGTCATTATATAATTTTGTCACTATATAATACAATTTTATAAGTATAACTGTTTTCAATCTGCTAAATAAAACCTGTTAGCATTTTTTTATTATTTGTTGTTTTGATTAAATACTTGCTGCAGTTTGCAAGTTTTATTTGTATGTTCTCGTCTCAATTAAGGGATTTATACCTAAATCGGTATCGGCTATGATCGGCCCTCAGGGTGATCGGTATCAGGATCAGCAGCAAAAATACTGATCACAGCATCCCTAATTTAAACCAAACTTAATAAAATCTGAGGTATTACCCAAGTCTATGAAACTGTCCAGGAAAGACTGGGGGGCTGGCTTCAGGAGAGCAGTCACCAACATAGAATTCAACCTTAGAAGGGATCATATACTGGTGAGCCAGCAACTGCAGCTTCCGTATCCTACTTCTCTTCTCCAGCTGGAGGGTGAGGTGCTGAGGATAGGAACACAGCCTGGAAAAATAGACAAAAAAATGGAAATTACGCTTGGTTTCAAAAAATAAAATAACAAAATAATTAAATCACAACAGCCAAAAATCCTAAATAAACATAAGAAATGAAAAGATCTTGACTAGTAATTTTAATTTTGCAATATTCAATTCAGTTTATTTCTATAGCGCCAATTCACAACTCATGTCATCTCAAGGCAATTTACAGTTCAACCAGATCATATAGTCAAATTGATACAAAGTTTTCTATCTATTTTATATGACATCTTTTTGGAAACAGCACTGCCTATTGTACAACATAAATTCATTAGACACACAGGGATTTATTTTAAGGATTAAACAGACAATTTCTTTCAGAAAGTTGCATGAAACAAAGACGTTCAACATATATATATATAAAAAAAATATATATATATATATATATTCAACTCAAAAGATCATGTTTTTTTATAGCTTGCACTTGAACGTTATCACAATAAACAAAAATATTGTTTTGTCGTTATATTAAAACATCAGTCTTTGTGTAATTTATCAATTTCTCTAATTTTACATAATAAGTTGGGTTTTTTAAATAATAATAATAAATAAATAAATAATAATATGTTATGGTATGAAGATTGTGAGCCAATCATGAGGAGGACTGCTGAATCAACAGCTGTCAGTACATTGCTTTTTTTTTTTTTAAAGGAGAGCGAATATTAATAAGCTTTTTTTTTTAAAGCACTATACAGATTCTGGACATCAAAACATTTTGTTTACTTCAAGAAAAAGCCAGTTCATATGATAAAGGTTGCTGACAACATACTACACTATAAAATCATAAAAGCTAATGGATTAAGGCATAGACTGCTTGATTGACAAATCTTCCAGCCCAGATTATAGGCTTATAATACCTGCTTGATCTCCAACCATTGACAGCGGGGGCGTGGACCATAAGCTCCTGGGCACTGAAGCTGTCCTCATGACTTGAAGAGCTGACCACAGTGAATCCTGTCTTCTTGGGCATTCCTCTAGCAGACACTGAAAGATTGTTTTAACAAACTAAACAGGAATATATAAGACAACTAACCGTACAATGATAGGGTGAACAGTTCTATTTAATTCAAATAAATTTGTATAATTATATATCTTTAAATCTACAACCTAGTTAAAGGAACAGTTCTTTAAATTAATGAATATATAACAAAACACAACTTTTGGGTTGAGCTCAAAACTTCCATTAAGTGCTGATTGTGATGTCAGCAGCACCTAACAAAAATGGACACCTTACATGACGTTTATGTGTATTTTTGTGTGAAACAGACGAGCTATTCATAAGACTCATAACACAAGACGTTTTGGGTTTTTGTTTTGCTGACCTAAACGTCTTAAATTGGGTGGGGGAGCTTTAGCTAACTCCTAATAACTCATCCATCTGCCAACATAGCAAACGTCATGCAGTCTAACACTGCCTGTATTGTACAGAAAAAAACTGACTAAAATGTAAAAATGTACAGAAAACCATAAGTTTTTTTAGTCAAAGATTCTTTGTAAGCGCGTAGCTGGGACTGCCAGGTCCTCCTCTTCGATATTATCATCATATCTTACCGTATTAATGACAGCTCGCAGTCCCATCTCATCTCCATAACCACCGCTGACAACAACCTTTCCGCACATGCGCAGTAGATGAGCCGCAAGGAATTATGGTCAATGAAGTTTATAATCGAAACGTTTCTATCCCCTGTTGTTTCTATTTTAGTTTTAAGAATTTTTTAAAAACTTAAAATGTATTTGTAGAAATTAAATGATGAACAAGTAGCTCTAAGAGAAATAGGGCACGATCCTTTGGAAGTACTGATGATGTAAACTTACCTCAATAAAATTGATGTATCAATCAATCAGTCAAATTTCATTTAGTGTATTTCCTGCATTTAATTAATTGATTTATTTATGTATTTATTTTATTTTCAAATATTTTTTTATATTTTGAAATTATAATTTGTTTAACATTTAAAAATAATTTTAAAAAATTCTAAATAAAAAAATATATATAAAAATTAAAGATATATAAAATAAATAAATAAAATTAAATAAAAAAATCCTGCATTTCAATGTAAACCAAATCATTTACACCTTTTAAAAATCAAGTAAACTGCTTTGGAAGAATTTGAACCACGTTAACTGAACAGTTATAAGTAACATTTAAAAATATATAACTAGCAATTGCTAGAAGAAAAAAATAATAATAGCAGGTACGAAAAAGATATTAAAAGACAAGACATTCAGCAGAAAAATATGAAAAACTAGAGGCATATTGATTAAGTTAAATTGTGATGTTATTGTTATTATAATTTATTTCACATTTAGATCAATAAAAATGCTTACAAAGATGAAAAAGATTTAAATAATTTAAATAATAGATCACTGTGGTTTAAGTAAGTTAGGGGTAAAGAAAGCTTAGTCATTCAAAGACTCTAGATTTAATATCATTGGTTCTTCATCAGTTGAATCACTGAGCCAAAAAAAAACAAAAAACAAAAAACGCCCACCTCCAATAATACATGAAAATAAAATAATTACTGGGTATTCATATTAAACAAATTTTTGAAACTATAACGATTTAAGCCACTAGTAATCATGTGAAAAGTTAAATACCCTTTAACCTTATTAAATCAATTAAGACAGTTACCCAAAACTCAACCAACTTCTTTGGTTAACTTATATAAATTGGGCAGATGTAGTGCTTTTTTAATGTTGATGTGTATTTATCTTTAAAATTTTCATGTATGTTTACTTTTGCAATATTTGTCATGAAAGTTTCTTAGTGTTTCCATAGATTGAACGGTGTCTACCACAGCTGATTTTTTCGATAGGTAGAACTTAGTGATTCAGAATAGGGTACTGGCCACGAATCAAAGCAGGGCTCTGCAACCAGGTCTCTCATTTAACATTAGAACCTGGAATCCTTCAGAGTCAGACCTTTGGAAAGACAACCCCAAAAGGTCAAGAAAGGAGGGATAGATCTATGGATAAAACTGAATCAAAACCCATAGACAAAATAACACATTAGCCTTCTGAATAAAACAGAAAAACCATCCCACCCCAAGGAAAAAGCAAAAATCATATTAAAATAATATTTAGTTGAAAATTTACAGACATTTTTTTAGAATATAATCCAATCTGCAGCCATAAATAAGAATTTCAGTCTCAGAAGTCATACATTCCCATTATGGCCACTAGAGGTCGCCATAAAATAAAAAATTATTTTAAAACAAACATCTAAACCTGAACTAAGAACAGCTTTTAACAGTATAACTTAAAGGATTCATATAATCGATTTACTGATAAAGGCAGCAATGTTTGGACATATATTTTTATTAGTTACGGTCAAACAGTTTCAAAAAGTGTGTCTTAAAAGAGAATTGTTTTTAGGAAGTATTTTCAAGCACAACCAAAGAAAAATGCACTTCAAGGAAAATTGTCATCAAACATCAAAATTGGGGCTAAAACCTAAAGGGCCATTTTGTAAATACTATTTCAAGTTTTGTTAAAGCTAGAAATTATCTAAGTCTTTGTAGTTTTAAGTATCGCCGTCATCCTGCAGGAAGAATGGGATCTAATATCTCATTAGATCATTACTTCAGCTTGGAAAAGGTAAGTTTTGCACATTGCTTTGTGCAACATTTGATTTTTTCTCATAATCAGTTCAAATCAATTCAAAGAGGGAGTTTTTTTCTCTTTGGGAAACTACATTGCCCAAATGAAGCAATGATCTTTGTGTTTGTTTGCCAAGATTTCAATACGAAAACAATTTGCATCTTGGTTAAATTAATTATAACTAAGAGCCAGAGAATTCCAAAATCATATTTCACTCTTCCCTTTATTTCCTTATTAATTTTCAAAAAGAACACCTTGACACTGGCGACAGTGGCGTTGGATGTAGGAGTTTGCCCTGAAATCGAAAGGTTGACGGTTCAAGCCCCGACTCTAACTTTCAGTGTCGTTGTGTCCTTGGGCAAGACACTTCACCTGCATTGTCTACTGATGGTGGTCAGAGGGCCTGGTGGCGCCAATGTACGGCAGCCCCACTTCTGTCATTGAGCCCCAGGGCAGCTGTGGCTACAATGTAGCTTGCCACCATCAGTGTGTGAGTGTGTGCGTGAATGAATGTAGTGTAAAGAGCTTTGGTCAAGTCTCCTAACTTGAATAAAGGTGCTATATAAGTACATGCCATTTACTAATTCTGAAATATGCCTCTTAAAGACCAAACAAAAAAAATAGACTAACACAAAAACACATGCAAAAAAGCTTTAATGGAGAAATGCTTCAAACATAAAACTTATTGCAGATACAGTAATGATTCATAGGAGAAACGTTGCAAGTAAATAACTGTAATATAAAAAAAGCTGCAACATAGTGCAACTGCTCCAAATTGCAAGATGCAGGCAATTAGCAACTCATATGGGGCCATACTCTTAGTAAATTCAAAAACTTTAATGAATTTAAATGTATTCATTGATTAATTGTAATAAGTAATGGAGTAATGTAAATATATTTGCCTTTGGTGTTTTTGCAATATTGTAAATATTATTCTTTTGGGTTCCAGTAAGAATAGAGGTAGTTTTACAGCAGCCAATGGAGATCTTGGTAAAATAAATTGTATGAAAACAATAGCAAAGGCCTTCAATATGGCAGAGAAAAATTATTGTTACAGAATCTGAAATCGAGGCCCGACTTTCAAATATTTAAAATGCATGTATAGTGTGTGAGTGCACCATTTCAATGAGCAGATTGCCTGTGATTATGGCAGTATGGAAATCATCAAGGAAAGTTGAAAGTTATAAGCTATAGATATTATGTAGATGGCAAGATTTATATATTTTAAATAATAATAATTAAGAAACGTTACAATGAACATTTACAGTGCACTTGAGTGCGCTTCTCTGGGTTTTCTCTGGTTTTTGGTTGTGATCAAGTTTTCACTTTAGTTACTCAGCTCTTAGTTATTCCTTTCTGGGGTTTTTTTTTCAGTTTTCTTCTATTATCAGCATTCTTTAGTATTGTTTACAGTTATCTTTAGGTTATGTTTCGCATAGCATCTTAGTTATCTTAAGTGTTTTTAATCAATTCCCTTTTAGCTTCATTTTAGTTCTTTCCTAGTTATAATTAAGCCCTATTTTATTCTTTTTTTGCTTTACTCTCTGTTGCCCCCTATTGCCCCTCCCCTTTCCCCTTAACTCTCTTTTATCTACTTCAGTCCACACCTGTGCCCAATTAGTTGATTACTCCATGCATTTTTCTGTTTGGCATATATCCTCCTCCTCTGCAGTTACCCATAGCTTGATTCTCTTCATTCTCACTCGGAGTTATTCTGTGTTACCCTCTGATCTGGTTCCTGTCTTCCCTGGTTTGTTATTTCTGGATTTAAGCTTCTGTTGCCACCACTCTCATCATATTAAATCTGCAAGAAACTATCTGTGCCTCCATCTCTGCATTTGGGTCCTCTCCAAACCTCCACTCATCCTGACAAAAAAAAAAAAAAAAGATGTAAACAAAAGCTTAAGTCATAACATTATATCTCATTATTTTCCAATCTAAAACATGGAAAAGCTGACTTTATCAGCTCCACTTCAGTCTGACTGATATTAGTTAATTAATGGACAGTGGTCAGACTTAATTGGAATATAATTACGCTAATGCAAAACTATGCAGGCCCATAAAAGAGATACTTCTGTATGGTAGAAATGTAAAGGAAAAATAAAGTAAACTAAAATGTTCCTCTTAATATATATCAGGTAAGGTGCAATGTAGATTTATCAATCAGAATATCCTAATAATGATGCTATACCTCAACACTTTCATATAGTGACATGACATTAAGCAGAACAGACACGTTTTTTTTAAGAGAATAATTATTTATAGCTCAAGTAAAAAACTAAGCCATAAAGGCCATTGATGGGAAATCTAAGGAACTGGTTCTGCTGCCTGCCTTTCCACATAAACTGTGTGGAATTGCGTGACTGTGTTAAACAAAAGCTATCCAGACCAGAGGCCGTGTGAGCCTTGGTTGCAGAAGGACAGCAGTCTAGCTGGTTGTTTACCAATGTTGTGCCACTTGTGCCTTTACAATCTTACATTGCCTCATGCTAAGCTAACACAACTCAATATACCTTCTTATACACACTCCTTACCCGGCAGCCTTTGAGTTGAGTTAAAATGGGTCCTGTGGAAGTTCAGTAGCGAATCATGTGCAGAGATGCAGCCTCTTATACTAGAGCTCTTGTTCTATCTGAGGCTGAAGGAGTAAAGTTGGATTCCAGGTAGTAAGTGGGTAGCCTTGATCACTTAAGGATAAGTGATTAAGGCTACTTAAGGATCATAGTGAATGGATTTGAACCAAGTCATTGTATTGTGCATATGCTTCTATAGTCCACCGAAAATCCACAGATTTTTTTTTTTTTTTTTTTCAGGTAATAGCATTCTTGGGAAATCCATGTCCATGGTTTTGCTCTAGCACTGAAGAGATTTGTTATAACCCTGTTGTTCCCTTTTGTTATGTGCTTCCGGCACATTATGATTTTTGTCTATTTCTTTTCTTTGTTTTCTTACAGACTTTAGTTGAAGGATCTTTTGTTAATATATTTTGGGAGTTGAATAATTCTTTTGGCC